ACATACATACATACATACATACATACATACATACATACATACATACATACATACATACATACATACATACATACATACATACATACATACATACATACATACATACATACATACATACATACATACATACATTACACATACATACATACATACATACATACATACATACATACATACATACATTACATACATACATACATACATACATACATACATACATACATACATACATACATACATACATACATACATACATACATACATACATACATACATACATACATACATACATACATACATACATACATACATACATACATACATACATACATACATACATACATACATACATACATACATACATACATACATACATACATACACACATACATACATACATAGGCTTGGGGGGATGGGGAGGATCGGGAGCGGAGGGAGGGAGAGAGGACAACAGAACACACAAGGGAGACAAGGAGAGATGAAGAAGGAGAAAAGGGAGGACAATGTCGGCGGAGTGAGCCGGAGGCTGTGAAGTATGCATTATTTCTAAAAAAAACAAACATTTTATTAAGAGTTGAAAGGTTAGTAATTCAATTATTCCGCAAAAATCATTAATATAATGGAATATATCTATTTATGCTAGGAATAAAAAAAAATAAAGCAATTTATCAACTTTGCCTAATTCCAGAAAGCGTGGGTGATCCAGAAAAATAGAAATATTAATATTAATAATTTTAATATATATCAAGTTCCTCTTCAGGAAAATAAATGGTAATCATCGATAATTATTAAGAAATGCAATTCTTCCAAATTCCTTTAGCTCCCAACATCAGATCATATTTTCCAATTTTAAGAAATCCCCAAAAACTTCAATATTGTGGCTACGCAGGAATCCAAAAGGTGCCCTGTTCGTCCAATTGAACACGGACATGTTTTGTCCTCTGCTTTCTGACATCTCCATCTGGGAATCATCAGGGCAATTTCCCAACAGGGTTGCCCAGAGTCAAGGTCGTACAAACAGTGGCGCTCAAGCTGCGAAGCAATCAAAGCTCCAAGCCTGAGTCCTGGTCACCAGGTCGCCAGGCTGGAGAGAGCAAAAACAAGTGAGCCCCAAGGTATAACCATTCTGGAGTAGATTGAATATTGGTTGTATAAGGAATATGATCTGGTTCTTTCAAAGATCATATTCTATCTACTCACGGATTGCTGTGCCTCTATCAAGCGCCTTAGGGTCTCTATGAAATGGTGTTTGGGGTGTCTTCAATGGAAATCGGGGGAGTGCTGGAAGGTCTCATGGGCTGAAGGTCACAAGGTAGAAGGGGTAGACCTGGTAGCTCTGATAGGACATCAGGGCCTGCATGTCTCCTCGCACTGGGCCTCTGACTGAGTCAAAGCCCTCAGGAGTAGACAGCAGCCCCGTCTGAGGGGAAGAGAACTGGCAGACTGTCCCGGCGGCAAACTTGCAAAGCAACATCTGGCTGTTGCCCGAGCCTGAGTAGGCGTAGCCCGGATCCACGTAGGCTGCATTCTCTGCGGTGTACAAAGCCTTGCCATAGAAGTTGCCGCTCTCCCTGCTGTAGTTGAAGGCCAGCCCAAGCTCTCCCTGACAAATCGTCTTCGGATCCGTCGAGCCCGTGCCATGCTTGACCCAGACCTCGTTGATGCCCTTGTCCTTGTTCCGGGGATTTTGCACCAGGACTCGGCAGAAGCCGAAGTACCGAATCCACAAGATGGGGTTCACCACGCGCTCGACCTTCACGATCTGCTTGTGCCAGACGGCCTGCTTCTGGCCCAGGCCGGTCTCACCGAACATCAGCTGCCGGACCTCGCAATATGCAAAGACACTTTGGGATCTGAAACCCCAGTAGAAATCATAGCTTCAGCTCCTTATTGGGATTACAAGTAACAGAAATTCGAAATTATTGTCAGATCCCTTCTAGGAACTAGCATAAGCCGGCTGCCTACCATCCAAAGACTTGGGGATTCTGCCTTCTCGAGCTCTGCAGGATCCGTGACTTCTTGGAAGCTTGGAGGACTCTCTGCATCTGTCGCACCCCACTCCGATGGATACCTCACCTGGCAGGCAAATGCCGGATGCGAGCCGCAGGAGGCCTCTGTGAATACTCACACTCCGCACAGACTGCGCAAGAAACTCTCCTGGTCTGAAGCTATTCATTCTGCCCGCCCTAAACCACGTGGCAGAAAACGTTGCCTGATTCTGCTCCAGCAATTGGTCGCGTGCACGCCATGCACGATCACGGTCCCAGGCATGGAACTCACTCTGTGCTGTTGACAAGTTGGTCTTACCGAGCACGTTCAACACCAAGGAGTCTTCTTGTGTCTCGACTTTGAGTTGCACGTGGCCACGCCGCGCCACGAAGTCCTCGAAGTTGGCAACAGCTTCCTGGCAAGCGGCTGAACTCTGATCCGAACGGCATGAGATCCGATCTTGTCTTTGGCTTCCAGACGTGGGCCACACAGTAAGGAACAAGCTCAAACACTGATTTGAGATCAGCACAACACTTTATGGATTGTGAACAGCATGCGTGAAACGACTTGGCATCAATGCAGCGCGGGTCAGATCGGAAAGGACCACGTGGCTTCTTCGATGTCAGCTAGCGCCCGCCCCTGAAACCCGCTGGTGCGCCTGGAAGGTCTCCCCGGCACCAAGCGTGATGCGCATGGGCGCCGTCTTCTCGCGCGCGGTCTGCAGGTGCTTGGTGATCAGCTTCTCGGCTTTCGTGGCCAGGGGATCGAAGCCGGTGAGCTGCAACCCTGACGCTGACGAGGTTGCCTCTGAAGAGACCTGACAAGACTCGGGATGAACATGAAGTCTGACCCATAGCGAACTGGCCAGATGCAGTACTTGGCGCCGGATGCTTGCCGCACAGCACATTACATGTCGCCAGTGTCATGCATCAGCCGCCTTGGAGAAGATCCGCCGCAAGGAGCTGGCACGATGCAGCTTCGGCGGGCGCGGTGCCTTATCTATCTGAGGCATTTAGTGTCACTAGCAGATCAACCCCCCCAAAAACTCAAACATGAAGGGCTACTTTACATGATGTAACAGTCTCGTGGGCGCTTCAAGGCCACTTCAGCAACTGGCATCCAAACCTCCAGACGCTGGACTGTACAAAGCCACAACGCTTTGCCTGTTTCTGATTGCCCGCATCTACCTAACCATCCTAGAACCTCAGACTAGATTTGCCTGTCCGTGCACGCGCATGTCTCCATCGTAAGTCATGACAGGGCGACACGATCAAATCAAAGTATCAGGTCCGCCAACAGTCCTTGCAGGAAAAGCTTGCCATTCCTCCTCCAACTATGCTCGCAGGGCTCCAGTCCCATGCGCTTCAGACATCCGTCAACCCATTGCAAGCAACACACCGCTTGCAGAGCATAACAACAAGCTGGTTTCAGCGCGCGCAAGTGCGCCAAATAAAATCATGGATTCTGGTTGAGGTCCATCAGGTAGCTTTCTCGCTTGTGATTCTCATGTAGTTATGACTCACTAGCTCAACCAAGAGGAGATAAGGCCCAAAAGTCACATGTTCCGACACGTAGACACCTGAAAATGCAAATTCGCATGCAGCGAATAGACAGAGCCAAGGTGCACTAGACTGGCCCGACGAAGCCTCGTCCCGCCATTCTTTCAGCGCCTGGTTCATTGGATTTGAGGCTATACCCGGAACATGAGTCTGCAGAGCTGCTGCGATTTTCTGTGGTCTTTAATTGCAAGCTGACATCCTAGCTAAACGCAACGAAATCAAGGAGCTCAGGTTCAACGTGGGAGTGAGGCTGGCGAGTAGTGGGACTTCCTTGACCGGCAGCGCCTCCTCGTGCGACTTCTTGCGGGCATCATACTGCTCTTTGTACATCGGGAGCTTCTGGACAGCCTCTTCAACACTGCCCAGGGGCAGCGCCTGCACCTGCCAAGCCAGACAACTGACTTCCTCAACAGAGCCTAAGTCAGGACGCTTCAGGTTTCAGGTGCACTGCCAACAAGGCCTTGCGGGAATAGCGCGACTTTGTGTTGTACTGCTTAGCGCAATGGTCGGCCCCACGCTGTGAGAAGTCGACCTCGTACGTGGCGAAGGTGTTTCCGGGCTCAATGTGGGCGGAGTCTGAAGGCTTTCCGGAGCGGTCTCCAAACAAAGGCGCCCGGCCCTCTCCTCCTTCAAAGGCAGCATCGAGTTGGGAGGCTTGGTCATAGTCGTAGGCAACCCAGCCTGCAACCGCTGCTATAACGTTAATCTGTGATGCTTCCTCCCAACAACAAGGAGGCTTGCAAAAGGACTGCTTGTCCAAGTACTGCTTGCTAAACTTGGAATCTCGGCCAGCAAGGGTGACGCAAGACTCTCCGCCGGGATCATAGCAAGGGGCACTTATCTGGCTGGGGACATGCTGGGACTATGATGAAAATCCCAGCACTCGCTGCCATGCTGCAACAAAGAGATCTTCCTACACTTCGTCGCCTGACCCAACTTGGAACAGCTTGAAAAATGCAACTGCACATCCACGAGCAGCAACAAAAGTGTGAGGACTGGGGCCAACCCTCAATTACGACATCTCAAGCAGCACATTGCCTCGACCAGTGTCCGAGCAGTCGTACACCCACAGGTACTGCGGGTGGGAAGGAGGGTGGAAGACTGGCTCCTGAGCGCAACATGTACAATTTCACCGGAAGCTGCGAACTTTCTGCAGCTCAGCGTGAGGGAACTTGCAGTTGCGCAAGCTTCAAAAATTGGCGCCTTGTTACGCTGATGATTCGATACTGCAGATAGGCCATTCTCTAACTGGGCCGTTGCCCCATCACACATGATTTCATGATGATGGTCCTGGCGCGGCACGGGGGAGTGAGGCTGTTCCTCCATGTCGTCAAAGTTGTCCAAGGCGTTCACAAATTCCTTCCATCGGGTCAATTTCATGAAAACTCCCCCACATTAAGCATGTACTGTCGCTGCAAGACGGCCGAGGCCTTCTCTCGTTCAAGCTATTGTCCACGACTCTTTCGGAAGTTGATAGACATTCCCCAACCTTTCCATGATACAAGAAAGGCGTGACAGCCTCCTCATGTCACGAAGCCAGTATAGAAATTCAGCACATGTTCTTATTTAAGCACTACTGCTGCTGCAAGAACAAGGCCAACTCCTTGAGAATCTTCTTGTTGGTGTCCATGATGACCACGCGCTTGGGACTCGCGCTGGCGCTTTCGTTCTCTCCCCAAAACGCCAGGGCACGCAGGACGCGCTCCGTGAGAGTAGAGCTTGCATCCTGCGCCAAGCATCCCCTCCTATCCATCTACATACGTGTGTACATATGCGTACATATATATATATATATATATATATTTATGTAGATAGTAACTGCGACCTATCTCCAGTCATATCCTGGGTAAATAGTGTGGTTGACTGTTGCTTTGCCTACAACAGGGTCCTGAAACATATTTAGGAAGCTTCCAAAATAGACTTGTTGTCAGGGATCATGAAAGGAAAACTTTATGTGTTTAATCTCATAGAATTACACAACGCCCAAAGGAAAACAAACATAAACAAACAGTGCTGGCTCAAGAAATTTTGGTTTTTGTGTTTTTTGTGTTGGTCCCATACCAACGTTTCCATGCAAAAAATGTTGTTCAACAAAAAACCAATTTGCTCCATGGAAAAAGGTGGCGGATAGCCAATCTTTTCATAGAAAAGCATGTTTTCTCAACCCAAAACCCGTTTTGCCCATTGAAAAAACGGTCTTCCGTGGAAGAAGGTAGGTTTTCAACCAGCAGCGAATGTGTCCCATGAAAAACCTGGTGTTTTGCTCGAACTTTTGCCTTGGTAAAAGATGGCTTTCCAACCAAAATCAAATGTTTCCATGGAAAAAGATGGCGCGAGACCAAGAAACTATGTAAAACAAAAAACAGAGACTTTTGAGCCAGCCCGATGGTTTTGGGCGCTTTAATGTTTTTGGCTTGTTGGTTTTTGGGTTGTTTCGTGTAGTAACTATAGTTTTGCGGTATTCTCAGTGATAGCTGCTTTCTGTGTAGCTGTTCGACCTCCTTTGTGCGCATTTGAAGCTGAAAAAAGCCGTGGTAACATTCCAGTTACGCTGCTAGTGTTGAAATCAGTACTACATCCAAGTTGAATATTAATGCCGCATCACTATTAATATTCGAACTAGCTCGAGCATTTGTAGTAGTAGTAGTAGTAGTAGTAGTAGTAGTAGTAGTAGTAGTACTAGTAGTAGTAGTAGTAGTAGTAGTAGTAGTAGTGCTAGTAAGAATGCTCATCATGGTTACGGGATGAAAGTGATGTTCATGTTAATGTTGAAAATAATGATGACATTAGTATCAGCATAAGTAGTACGTCTATGAATATCGGTGTTGATGTTGAAATTAATGACAAGAACAACTGCAATCCATACCATTATTCATGTTGTAGTATTAACGTGGGCCTTGGTATTAATGCTATTTTCCGTCAATATTAACGTTGAAATTGGCGTAACTAACTATTGCAATCAATGCCAGCATTAGAACAAATGTTAGCATGAACAATATAAGCACTAGATTAGTGTAGTGTGAGTACCAGTACGAGTATTAGTCATGGTATTAGGATTACATTTGCATGAATGCTGGAATCACTGGCACAACTGATACCACCGCTTGTTTTGGAATTGGCACGGGTACAACCATGTGTGTTTGTTAGTATCAGTATTTGCAACGAAACTCATAATGGAAATATAGCTAATGGTAACATCAGTATCAATATCAGGACTTGTATTGTTCCTAGTATTATACATAATATCAATAATAGTAGCAGCAATACCAAAAAACAAAATATGAATATTGGTGGTGTTATCAATGTCAGTATTAAGATAAGTATTAATATTATTCTTAAATGTTAACATGAGCATTTGTACTAATCTTAGTGCTAGCAGCAATTTATCTATTAATATCCATATTAATACTACTCCTAGCAGTAGTATCAATACTAATTCCAAATTGGTATTAACCTTAGAGTTAGTATTTGTATTTGTATTAACATTGATATTCGTATGAGTATTGATATTAATATCAAAAATAGTAGTAAGTATTCATATTAGTGTTAGTGTCAACATGAATATTAATATCCGTATTCGTGATAATGCTAGCATTAATATAAATTCGGTTTCACATGAATACCTGTGTTGGCATTAGTATTGGTAGTAATATTGGTATTAGTCTGCGTATTTTTGTAGCCTTTGGATGACATAACATCACTGCTGGCGCCAGCATCAGAATTTGTATTCATACTGGTTTGGTACTAGTGCAAACAATAATTCATTTTAACAGTGGTATTAGTGTTGAGGTATGAGACAAAATATTAATTCCAATGGTCATATCAATATTGATTCCAATATTAGAATTAGAAGAACTAGTATGGGTATTACTATTGGAATGAGTACTATACTTAATACTGATATTGATAGTCATAATAATATCAATAGTATTGTCAATATTAATTCTAACACTAATAGTAGCATGACTGTTACAACCAGTGCTGACATTCATTTTAGTATCAGTGTGAATATTGATACCGGAACTAGTGTTAATACTGATATTCGTATTCGCAATAGTATTAATATTGACTCTCATACCATTCCCACTGTTAACATTACTACCAGAGTTAGTATGTGTACTTAGTATTGATATTAATATCAATATCAATAGTAAAAATCTCATAGTAGCAGCAACAGTATTCGTATCGGTGTGAGTATTAGTGCTGTAGGATTCTACTAATAATCAATCAAATTTCAATTGAGAGTAATAAGATTAACAATTGTATGGTAGTTGCTGCTGCGATTCTTATTGTCATTGTCTCAGTAATAGTGGCAAAAGTAGGGGTGGTGGGAGTTATCGTGGAGAGAGTCAAGGTCAGTAGGGGTATGGTATCTTTGTGGTTGTTCTTATTGCATTTCAAATGACATGTCATGACCATGTGTGTACAGGCTAAGGTAACCTCCTCATTGTGCTGTAACCCCCCGCGCCTGTCAGTCCTTTGATCTGCAGGTCAAGGTAGGTCGAGGGAGTAGGGTTAGCATGTACATATATATATATATATATACAAATATATATATATATATATATGCGCAAATGTATACATGTATGTATACACGAGCAATAGTATTTGCATTGATATGAATAAACGGACCGGACTCGCGTTCGTGCTAGGATCAACTTTACGGCTAGAAGCAATATCGGTGTTAGGCTGGCATCAACGCCCCTATTCGTCCGGCGTCACCAGAGCTCAAAATCCTTGCAACTCTTTTAGCACTGGCTCCCTGTCTACTCCCAGACCAGCTGAAAATGGAAACGCGTACCTTGTGGGCGCATAGTGTTTAGTACCCGACATTAATCAAGCGCCTTACCTCCCTGCTCACTCCGGACCTACCCGGATCCTGCCAGCCAAAGATGCCAGCGCCGAGGGCCGGAAGAACAACGCTGTCAATGTCTGCCTTCCTCACCTCATGTCAAGGAGAAGCTTGCTGAAATTCAAGGCTTTATCAAAACTTTGTATTTGTCCTGTCCTTAGGTGTACACACACAGCCACCACCAAAGCACCCGCGTGAGGTGGCAAACCTTACATGTGTCACGGAGGCTCAGAGCGACGCTGGGGTGTGGTTTAAACGCATTCTGACGGCTGAACGCCGAAGGCCACCTGTAAGAACTTCCCTTTGTTCAAAGCTGGAAGCTCTGAGTAGAACTTCCGGGAGGGCTGCCTTCGAGAGTCTGTTGGGAAATGCTGTGGAAGAGGCTTGGGGCCTCCATCAGGATGGACAGGACCGTCGCTTCCATCTCACGGGCCGCCTGTTGCGTGGCCTGTGGCAGGACTTTGAACTCGCTAGCCAAGCAAGGACTGCGGCTCAATCAAAGACCCGCGCAAGTCCTTGTAGACCGGCGGCACTGCATGGAAGATCTTTTCAAAGCCGGCAGACTTCAGGGCATGCGCCTCACACAAGCCGCGCGCACTTGTGATTCGCAGCAAAAGGGAACTCTAAACCCGGTATGATTGTTGTTGTGGCTCGCGGCGGAAGTACTGCTGCTGTTCACAGGAGCTTCTCTTCACATGGCTGCTTTGTCAGTCCGACCGACATCTTCCAGCAAGCCACGTCTGTCACGGCAACCTCGGTCACGTTGACCTGACAGGGGCAGGCATAGAAGCATTGCATCTATGAACTATGAACCTGAGCAGCTTGTTCTGCTGAACAGGAGACCACGCACATGGACAAACGGCACGAACAATGACAATTCCCATGCCCGAGCGCTCACATATTCAGCCCCCTTGTGTTTACAATGTTGGACAGGTGTTTCACTTGTCTGAAGGGTTGTGATATCACAGACTGGGACCGGCCAAATCAGAAACTCAGGATCACTTGGACCCTGAATCACCCTTGACTTGAAAAACGTCCACAGGCCGGAAACTCTGAGGCAGAATCCCACATAGACATAGCTGGACACCGACACAAGCCATAGGCTTGACATAACAATGCTCTTGGCAAAGGCTCTTGCACGCAAATTCTGGAGCTGTAAATCACGCCTCGAAATCAAACGCGACGCCACATCCGCATGTTTGCATTTTGATGTTTGCAGCGTGCGTGTCGGAGTTAGCCTAAATAATCTTCCCAAAATGCGAGGATGTTTAAAAAGAGGCTCATATTACAATGAATTTAGTACGATACCCATGTTATGTCCGTAGACGTTGCGACACAGGTTCCAAGCTCCCGCCTGGCGCTCGGCAAGGATCTGGCGGCACTCCTCCACCAGCGCCGGCCCGCCTTGCGCCTTCCATTCCGGATGGAGTTTGTTATATGATACTCTATATATATATATATACTATACTATATTGTGCTTTATGCTATACTATACTATGCTATACCATGTTATATTATGCTATACTATACTGTGCTATACTATACTATGCTGTGCTCTACTATACTATACTGTACTATACTAAACTATACTGTACTATGCTATACTATACTATATTGTGTCGTACCATACTATATCATATCCTATAATGTTATATGATATTATATTATACTATACCATGCATGCGAAGGACTCCGATGAATGGACCACTGCAGCTGTTGAAACACAGTTTGGATAACCTCATATCTGTTTTTGAGCGCACCTCAAGCTTTTAACGGCAAGAAGATGGGACCAAGCCATGGGGCGGTCAACCCCAGGCCAGGGACATCCAGAAGTAGAGGCCACACGCGGACTCAAGACAGAGCGAAGCCTTGATCTTCGCTGCAATGCCACCCACCTGCCATGCGGCATGTGAGCACCACTCTGTCAACTGCTACAACACCCCTTCTAACAAAGAAGATCTGGCTGTTTCTGCCGATTCGGCGTCTGTTTTGTGGATGTCCTGACAACATGAGCTTTACTATGGCGGGTCTATGTTAGGGACCCTGTTTTCTTGAAGCCTCCAACTGACGTCTCAACTTGAGGGCATCCCAAGCAAACCATACGGGAGCTTCCAAAAATCACGGATTCTAAAACCAATTTGCAGAAGCAGCCATGCTGTTCGTGACTGTGATACTCGCCTGCAGGGTCAAGAGCTGCTCGTTGGCGGAATTCACCAAAGCCCGAATGCCGAGGTTGCTCGACAGGATGTCCCCGTGCCTGCAATCACTGCAGGGCATGTAGTGAGGGGTCGATTTGGTTCGACCTGCCGCGCGCGTGTCGCACATGCCACTCTGAGTAGAAACCTCTTGATTTTCACATGTGCTTCGGCCAGAGCCCCATTTTGCAAACACACACACACACACATCAGATGAGCTAAGGTCAAAATTTCTGGTAGGCCCAAAATATATGGGTCCCATATACCGACTATAGCAGGGGCCATAGTAAAACCCCACTGTGCTCAGATCATCTCTGGATGCTTCAACAACTCTAAAGCCCTTTAAAGGAGCCCATGGCCCTACTTTCAATAGTATCGACTGCAGCTCAGTTCTTGCCTCAACTCCAGATCGCAGCCGTTCGGCAGGCGGCAATGAGCCATAAGGCTCTGCTCTTCTTGGAGAAAATCATGCCAAGCCTCAGTTTGAATTGAATGGCAGTTCGGCAACTTCAAGCAGAATAACATGTGTGCAGATACAGATATATATATATAGATATACACATATTCAGATACATACATGTATATATATATACGCATATTCTTCTACTTATGTATTTACGCAAACATATATATTCCTGTAATCCATATACATATACAGCATATGACAAAATTCCCGACTCAAACGTATGATCGCCGACTACGGTTGCTGCTTTGTGTTTAGTCAGGCTTTGCAATAGCTTTGCGACTGAGCAACTGGAATCTTGACAATTTGTCGCAGGATTCGTTCGCCCTCAAGATTCTTCAAGAAGTCGAGCTCGTTCTCGCTCAGCTGCATGGTCTTGCGCTCCAATCCTTGATCAAGCGCCTGCATAGCCTTCTCCAGCCAGTCCTTGCCAGGGAGGGCCGTTCTGAAGACCAAGACAAGACACACGACACACCATGTCAAAATTCCTTTCAGATAAGATTTACCAATCAGGATCCCCTCTCTCTGACCCATAGTCAATCCCCCTTTTGCTGAGTTTTGGAAACCGCGATAAGCATGCTTATCCCAATAACCCTCATCGGTCCCTTATGAGCCTTATTGGCTCCCATCCCCTAAGCTCTGATGGCTTATATGAATGAATGCCCCCTGGTCCCGGCTTGCACCCGGATCTGCGCCTTATAAGGGGCAACAAGAACACCCAACGTAGAGGGGTTCCACCGCCCTCCTTCAGCTCTCCATTTTGCGAAGCGCTAATGCTCGCTCCCTCTGGCTTGGGCCCGCGCTAGCAGAACCCATGCATCTACGCGGGGAAAATTGTTTTCCGCGCCGCGGGAAAAATGGCTCTGCTCCTTCCTTGGCAAGCTCCCTGGCGTTTCACCTCCGCCTCCAACTGGTTGTGCTTGGCCCTCCCAATCCGCAGGCCAACCAGAAAAATTCCAACCACGATGAAGATCAGAGGCCATCGAGGATGCACTCGATGACGTAGCCCTCCTCGGTCTCATCCTGGAAGGTGGTGTTGACTGCCTCTGCCCCTGTGATGGCAACTGATGCCACTCCAGCCATGATGGTGCTGGCTGCTTGGGAGCCCTTGGCAGTCTTGCTCTTGCCCTTACTCTTGCCCTTGCCCTGCCCTTGTCTTCTTGCTGGCGACAAAGTTCAGGTCATAGATAGGCTTCGTCGGCCAGCTGCCGTTCCAAACTCACCCGTCGCCACTCAGTCTTGGTCTCCCGCAGCGACTCCTTGTTCAGCTCAGGGTTCTGGGTCAGCGTGAAGACTTTCTGACCAGTGAAGCTCATCCAGGGCCACTGAATATGTTGCGCAGGGACGCCACACAATCACCGAGTAGGGCACGGTCTCACCCTTTAGCACAGACTTGTGGGCCGAAGATGATCAGGTAGCCGCCCTGTGAAGTCAGGTCCGGCTTCAGCAGAAGCAAACGAAGGCAAGGTCGGCAATGTTCTCAACGATGCGCGTAGTGAGCGCCAGCGTGCTGTTGGCCTTGGCAAACCTCAGGGTCCAGATAGTCCCCATCACCTCCAGACAGGCAGCCTGAATTGACACGCTCGCGCACAAGTGAGGCGCTCTGATTTGCAGGCCATTGCGGCGCCAATCAGCTCCCGCACCTTTGTCACCTCGGAGGGGAGGTGCGAGATATTCCCCTAGGAAAGCGAGGGGAGTACCTGATCAACCGTGTGGAGAAAATGCATTGTCTCATCCACCCACAAGGAGATCCCCCACCGCGTTTCTGCCTTGGGCGACCTAGAGATGAAGCCGAGGAGATCTTGCTTGCGGAGCCGGGCATGGACAGACCGGAAGCGTCAGATGATGACGAGAAGGGGCTCGATCAGTCCCCAGCCTTTCCTGAACCACAAGGAGAACCATCACTCAAGGTGACCGAAGAATCACCAGGTCAGGGAGGTCAACGGGACACGGAGGAGGAAGAATCGACGCCAACGGCAAGTCCGTCAAGGCCAAGCGAGATGAGTTTGGAAGACCAGGTGGACTATGTCTGGAAAGACCAACAAGCACAGGCTTCTGCGTCGCTTGCAAGAAGAGGAGCCAAATGAGCTGCTCATGTGCAAGCTGTGGTCAAACTTACAGGAGCTCTCGATAGCGGCCCACCCCGAGCGCAAAGAGACCCTCATGCGAACGGCAGGAGAACCACGACACCATCCTCACAATCAATGTGTGCTGTGGAGTGGACGGCGCGCCACGATTGAGCATCCTTGGAGGCTTGGAGCAGACTTCCTGGCTACCAGGCCTATGTGGACCAGTGCCAGTGCGGGTGTCCACCCAGGCTGAATCGATCATCATTTCCAGCATCCGCCATAGGACATCGGGCTTGGATGCCCAAGGTTGCTGCACATAGGCCAATGCTTGGGGGCCAACCTGCTTCCGGAGTTCTGTGTCCTTCAGGATGCCGTTGCCCTTATCCTTGATCTCGTCTTCGAAGTTCTTGGCCAGGATGTTGTTGCCTCGCTCTTCCAGCATAGCCTCCTAGTCCTCGACGGCAAGGATGGTCTCTTCCTCCGTGGGGTCCTGGACCATCAGCTGAATCTTGCTCCTGTGCTCGCCATCATGGACCAGGCTACTCGCTACGTGGCAGTGCGGCTACTGAAGAGAGAGACGGCCGTTGACTTTGCGAAGGGCCTGGAACGTGGTTGGATCAAGCGCTACGGCTGTTCCGATCATGGAATCAAGTGGTCTCGAAGATTTACCCCTGCCCAATGGGTGCTTGATAAGGCCCAGGTGCTCAGACGTCGCTGACTGCAGAGGTCATCAACCCTGGCATCGACCCCATTGATGAGAACACAGCCTTCGCCAATGCACAGAGCCGGCGGCAACGAGCTCAACTTCGCCGGGCAATGAACCGCAACTTTCAGGCGTTGTGGGGCAGAAAGTGTGGTACTGGAGAGTTGCCGGGTCTGGTACTCTGCAGAAAGTGAAGTGGCGGGGACCGGCAAGGATCATTGCGATCGAGGGCAATGATGAGAAGCGGCCAACAGCAATGTGGCTGGCGCATTCAATGTTTTTCAAAGGAAGTCCTAATGGTGGAAGAGCGCTGCTACCTCATGGAGGCGGACCCCAAGGCAGCCCTGCAGGACTTGCAGGAGCTGAAGGCAAGGCCCACTACGCAGATCGCACAGCACGAACTGGAGCCAAATCTGGAGGACTAGTTGGAGGACGAGTATAGCCCATCAATTGCCCCGGTGGATGAGGAGATGATTGGGCCCCAGGCGGGCTCAGAGATGTTCGACATGCTGCCCGGCATCATTCAGGAAACCTTGAAGGCGAAGAGCCGAAAGGCAAGTGCGCTTGTGCGAGAAGGGAGCGACGGGGACGACAAGCTTTCACCAACCGACCCCGGGCTTGACCAAGAAGCCTTCAAGGAAAAGAGAAGACGCCTAGAGCGAGCAGAACTGCCAGCCCCAATCCGAACAGCACTTCAACTTGATGCAGAGCCTCAGCACTACAATCAGCAGAAGCAGCATCAAGTGGCGCAGCTGACGCAGCAGCAATGCCAGTTCCTCTGATGATGACGCAGATCCAGGATGATGAGACGCTTCTGGATGAGGTGCGCTTTGTGAGCATTGAGAATGGCGAGCTGGGTGCTGGTGGAAAATTGGATGAGGTCTGGCTGACCTGGGAGATGGCTAAACGCAAGTCCGAGGTGCAAGAGTGAGACCTCACTTGCGATGAGAAGGCGCAAGCTCATGCAAGCCAAGAAGAAGGAGCTTCAGAAGCCAGGTATGGGAGTTTGCGACCAAGCAGAAAGATAGCGCAGGTACGACAAGTCACTGCAAGGTGGATCCTCACCTGGAAGAAGGTTGAGGGAGGAAAGCTACGTGCGAAAGAACGATTGGTGCTGCGTGGATACCAGGACCCCGACCTTCACAACCTCAAGAAAGTAGCCCCAACTGGTGGTCGCTTAGGAAAAATGTTCCTGCTGGGATTGGGCTTTACGCTGGGGTGGGCCTTGCAATGCGGAAATGTGACCGCATGAGCGGCAAGAGCTTTGACCGGAAGATCGTGGTCTTACTCCCCAAGGACGCGGCTCCACTCCTGGGATGCTCACAGCAAGTGGGCATGAGGATGCTGAAATCAGCATATGGGCTTGCAGACACGCCACTGCTGCGGTTCGCTGTTTACAGGCAGTACCTCTCAAAAACGGCATCCGCTCGACAAGTGCGCCTACATCTTCCCAACCGGCACCAGAAGCTGGTGGGCATGGTGTCGTTGCAAGACAAAGATCCTGACTACCAGGCCGCCGTGGAACGGATTTGGAGCAGCATCAACTTCGGCAAGCGGCGTGCTGGAGACCTCTTGTTGCCGTCGTCGACCGTCACCCCAGGCGCTCCAGGATGGGCCGCCCGAAGAGGATGGGAGCCTGACCCTGGTTGATGTAGCACAAGACCTTCAGCTTCTGGTCGCCCACATAGACTGCCAGCAATACGCACAGGTGGGTGATCTCCTTCTCGGAGTGCCGTACTGCAGCGCTGATGTAGCGCTTGACATGGCGCTTACTGCCTAAAACCGACGCAGCACCACCATCCGGCAGGGCTGCGCAGGTCGTGTCGTACTCATCCACGCCGTCCGCATTGTCCATCTCGTAGGGCCATCCGCAGGTGGGTCAACCTTCCTCTTTTTCTTGCATGAAGGTTCCTGAACTCCACATCGAAGGCACACCTGCCAACCAAGAGCCTGTTGACCTCTAGCCTTGGCGCTGCTTCCCTTCAAGTAGCTGCGGGCTTTGAACTTGCCTTTCTCCTTCCCCCTCCGGCCTTTTGCCTTCGGACTCCAAGGACGCACGGGAAGTTGAGGTCCACCCTGCACCATGGCCACCACGTGGTAGTAGCCTCGTGCTGTCCTCATCATGTTCAGCTTGGACTTGGCCTCGATGTAGTTGACGTAGATCTCATGGTACTCCGTGACGTCGTAGCTGTCATCTCCATCGCCGTCTCCAGCACAGTATGCCTCCTCCAGCGATGTGTCCTCGGCCCGTCAGAAGCGTCACGATGTTGAAGATCGTCTCCGCATTTTGATGCGGTACAGCTCGCACCTCTTCCGAAACTCTCTGTACTTCCTTTGCACGTTGTCAAACACCGGCACGTGCTGAAAGCTTGGGGACCTGACTCCGGTAGACGCCCTAGGCCTGGATGCCGTAGGGCTCCGCTACCACAACAAGAACACCCAATGTAGAGGGGTTCCACCGCCCAACACTCACGAAGTTGTAGGCTCTCCATTTTGCATAGCGCTAAGGCTCGTTCCCTATGGCTTGGGCCCGCCCCAGCAGAACCCACGCATCTCCAAGTTTTCAGTGGACACTTCACAAGGGGATTATAAAAGGCTAATATAGGGTCCTGACTTAAGGGCTACTGCTTCGACCTGCCTGGAGGTTCACCAGCAAAATATAATATACTCTACTAGAGGATACTATAGGACAATATAACATGGGCCTAAATTGATGTTCCCAAAATGGTGGAAATTTGCCAAGTGGCCCGTAGAAGAATCTGAAGCACAATATAGGGACCCATGCTAGGCCCATCTAAGGACAATTCCGCGCGTGTGTGTCGGTCCTGGGCTCCTTGCAGCAACGACTTGCGGCACTGGACTGTCAGCTTCCCGGTGCTCAGGAAAAGCTTGCTACCCGGGTGGCTGTCCACGAGCTGCTGGCGGAGCCGCATGAACCTGTCCTCAGCTCCCCAGACTGGGAGGATCCAAAAAGTAGAACCCCCAACTCTGGACTCTAATGCTCCTATGGTGTAGATTACAGAAACCTAAGGCGGATCTACTTTTTGGATCTGTCCAGAGATCGTCAGCTCTTGATAGGTCAGACCGCTCCGTGACGGCTACACCAATCTCATAGCTGTAGCCTGATACACCTCAAGTATGCTTCAGACTAACAAGCAGCTATGTAAGGACACATAGGTAGAGAGAGAGAGAGAGATGCAGGAAGATATATACGTACATACATACATGCACACATATATTTGTGTATGTGTTTGCATAGATGCGTATTTGCTGGAGGCTTCGGATGGATGGTTTTTGGTTTTGGGACCTGGCTCTTTACCTTGCTGTCAGCTCCCACAGCCAAGGCGCCTTGTCTTTGAAGAGCAGCCAGGAGAGCGCCTTGGCCAAGTGCAATATAGTATGTCAGAATATGATATAACATACTGCAACTGGCTGCAGCCCAGCAAGCAGTAGCCCCACGGTATTCTGATTGGAATGGTATGATGCCATTTTTGTGACTGTTATAGTGTGGGGGGGGTGTGGGGGGCTGCAGCAAACCTCTTACCTTACATGCGCTCGCGGATCTGCGCGTCAGAGTTCCGGGCCCGTGCCATGGGTCTGGGATTCGAGACCTACGGAACACAGCGAGCTTAACTTTCTGGTGCTACCTACGGTGCCGGATCCAAAATCTAAACACGACACAGAATCTGACTTTGCAAAGTCCAAGTTTGCGTCTCCCCCGAAATGCGATAGGAGCGATATGTCTTGCTCTTCTTGAGCGTGGGATAAGTCACTACTCGAACCCTGGCTTTATGCAAAGCCAGGCACAGGCAGAATCTTTGCGGCGAACTGCGCACGCTCATCTGCAGCACACTGGGCAGAAAGCGAATCCACAGCGGCGGCCACATCTTCTGTCCTGCCCAGGACTTCGCATCTGCCTGTTGCTCATAATTACGAGTTGTCTTGTGCATGGTTGTTCCTGGCATAGCTCCTGCTGCCATCAAAACACCTTGCTACCTTGAGGGCCCAGGGTTCCACATGTGTTCAACTGGAATCTGTAGGACTGGGAGGGGCTATTTTTTAATTCAATTGTGTCATATTGTGCCAAGACCTACTGTTATAAAATTAACTCACGTGATCTCTTATTGGATTTTATGTTGCTAGTCTTTCATACAAGTAAGGTCCGGCAGAGCCGGGGGGCGGAAGTTTCAAAAATACAAAACTATAGTTATCTTTCTCTTTCTTTTCTTGACTCTTTGTCTCTTCTTCTTCCTTTTCATTGTTTCTTTTTTGTCCGTCATTCTTCCTTTATTCCTTTCTTTCCTTCCTTCCTCCCTTCCTTCCTTCTTTCTATCCGTCTGTTCTTTCTTTCTTTCGTTTGCTTGTTTTTGTGCTGTTCTTTCTTTTGCCTCTTCTCTGTCTATCTACCTGTCTATCTCTCTATCTATCTATCTCTCGTGTTATCTATCTATCTGCTTATCTATCTATCTATCTATCTCTCTATCTATCTCTATCTCTATATCTATATATCTACCTATCTCTCTATCTCTCTATCTATCCATCTAGCTCTCTCTCTCTCTCTCTTTATCTGTCTATCTATCTATCTTTCTTTCTTTCTATGCATCTATCTATCTCTCTATCTATCTATTTGTCTATCTATCTTTTGTTTGTGTATCCATCTATCTAGTTATCTCTCTATCTATCTCTCTATCTCTCTTTCTATCTATCTATATCTCTCTCTATCTCTTTCTATCTGTCTATCTCTCTATCTATCTGTACTATCTCTCCATCTATCTGCCGCGTATCTATCTATCTATCTATCTATCTATCTATCTATCTATCTATCTGTCTCTCTATCTGTCTATCTCTGAATTTATCTATCTATCTCTCTATCTATCTATCTATCTATCTATCTATCTATCTATCTCTCTATCTCTCGTGTATTTATTCATCTCTCTATCTCTCTATCTGTCTATCTATCTTTCTTTCTATCTATCTATATATCTACCTATCTTTCTATCTCTCTATCTGTCCATCTCTTTATCTATCTCTCTATCTCTCTCTCTACCTATCTATCTATTTATCTACCTCTCTATCTATCTATCTATCTATCTATCTATCTGTCTGTCTATCTATCTATCTATCATCTACTTATCTATCTATCTCTCTATCTCTCGTTCTATCTATTTATCTATCTCTATCTACCTATCTATCTATCTATCTGTCTATCTATCTGTATGTTTATCTATCTATCAATGTGTCTCTCAGCTATCTCTCTCTCTCTCTCTCTATCTGTCTATCTATCTATCTGTCTATCTCTCTATCTCGCTTTCTTTCTATTTGTCTATGTATCTAGCTATCTCGCTCTCTCTCTCTCTCTCTCTCTATCTATCTATCTATCTATCTATCTCTCTCTCTCTCTATCTATCTATCTCTTTTTCTCTCTATCTCTCTTTCTATCTCTCTCTTTAGCTATCTCTATCTGTCTATCGATCTATCTATCTATCCATTTGTATCTGCACTTAAAAGTTGCGTTTTTCAAGCCCCGAAAGTTGACTTCGCGTACTACTTTCGTACTTAAAAGTTGCGCTTTTCAAGCCCCAGCTGCGAAAGTGGACTTCACGTACTACTTTCGAACTTAGAAGTTGCGATTTTGAAGCCCCAACTGCGGAAGTGGACTTCACGTACTACTTCCGTACTTAAAAGTTGCGATTTTGGAGCCCCAGCTGCGATTTTCGAAAGTGGACTTCACGTACTACTTTCGCACTTTAAAGTTGCGATTTTCGAGCCCCACTACTTTCGTACTTAAAAGTTGCGATTTTCAAGCCCGGCTGCGAAAGTGGACTTCGCGTACTACTTTCGTACTTAAAAGTTGCGATTTTCAAGCCCCAGCTGCGAAAGTGGACTTCACGTACTACTTCCGTACTTAAAAGTTGCGATTTTGAAGCCCCAGCTGCGAAAGTTGACTTCGCGTACTTTCATACTGAAAACTTGCGATTTTCGAGCCCCGGCTGCGAAAGTTGACCTTGCGAAAGTGCTGCGCGTGCCACGAAATCTTTACTTGACCTTGCGAAAGTGGCGCGCCTGCCACGGATTTTCCACTTGACCTTGCGAAAGTGATGCGCCTGCCACGAAATCTGTACTTGACCTTGCGAAAGTGCTGCGCCTGCCACGAAATCTATAATTGACCTTGCGAAAGTGCTGCGCCTGCCACGAAATATATACTTGACCTTGCGAAAGTGCTGCGCCTGCCTCGAAATCTACACTTGACCTTGCGAAAGTGCTGCGCCTGCCACGAAATCTATACACTCGACCTTGCGAAAGCGCTGCGCCTGCCAGGAAATCTACACCTCACCTTGCGAAAGTGCTGCGCCTGCCACGCAAATCAAGCCTTGCGAAACCAGCGCGCGGCCGTGCCAATGGTCACATCTCCGAACCCGTTGGGACCGTGCCCCGCTCCGAGACCGCCTCCGTACAGGCGTCGCGACCGAGGTGGTTTGCGCACTGTCCGACATCTCGGAACCCGTTCCGGGACCGTTCCGGGACCGTTCCGCGCCCGTTCCGAGACCGCCTCCGTAGGTGGTTTGCGCACTGTCCGGAAGTCGAATTCACGCACAGCGCCATTTCTGCATCTTGCTATCCCCCAGCTCGTAGAGAGTGCATGCAGCACCTTACGAAAGTGCTGCGCCTGCCACGAAATCTGTACTCGACCTTGCGAAAGCGCAGCACCTGCCACGAAATCTGTACTCGACCTTGCGAAAGTGCTGCGCCTGCCACGAAATCTACACCTCACCTTGCGAAAGTGCTGCGCCTGCCACGCAATTCAATCCTTGCGAAACCAGCGCGCGGCCGTGCCAATGGTCACATCTCCGAACCCGTTCCGCCTCCGTACAGGCGTCGCGACCGAGGTGGTTTGCGCACTGTCTGGAAGCCCAATTCACGCACAGCGCCAACGTTTTCTGCATCTGGCCATCACCCGGCTCTCCTGATTTCAGCATTTATCGTAGCTTTTTTCGCGCACATCCATGCATCTTAAAGCTATCTGTCTGTCAAGCTAGCTATGTGTCAAAGCTATCTATCTGTCGTCAAGCTAGTTATATGTGTCAAAGCTATCTATCTGTCAAAGCTATCTATCTATCTTTTTGTCAAAGCTATCTATCTGTCAAAGCCATATTTTGGAAAGCTATCTATGCGTCAAGCTATCTGTCATGGCCATACGTCAAAGCAGCTAGCTCATTTTAGTTCCAGTACTACGGAAGTTTCTTGTTAAACTTCCTTTGACTATGTTGTATGATATCAGCACTCAGAACGCTCACGCTTGAAGCCGAAAGCCTTTTCCTGGCTTTGGATGCCCCAAAGATTACAAATGAGTGAGGCCCCACAGCATCCTGTTGGCTCCACACTGCCCCCAGACCAGCCGCATGGAACATTTGAAAATTGATTGCCAGTCGAACCAGCAGCTCAGCCGGAACAGATCCGCCAAAGCTTCAGCTCTTGATGCCTCATGACGAAGGGCCTCGGACTTGAAGCCCGAAGCCTCTTGGCAACTGACCTATTGGGGATTCCTGGACTCTTTAGCTTGCCTCGTGAAATAAACTATCTCTGGCTCCTTAGCTCCCCCGAAAGCTATGGGCAGAAGTTCGGACGGTTGAGGCCGCAAGCATTCCTGATTTTTTGAGGATCGCCACGGAAACGTGAAAATCCCGAAGCTCTAATTGGGAAGCTCAGCAGCGGAAATAGAAGCCGCTGGAGTTTTCAATCTTCCCATAACAACGAATTAGCTTGCCCGGAGCCTTACACGTGATTCTTGGCCACGTAAGCTTTGCCTAATGGCCCCACCATTTTCTATGTAGGGGCATCTAGGGTTGTAAGAGGGTACTTGGGCATGGAGCCATTTCCGGAAAGCTTCGCTCTATTCCAGACCCCTAATCAGAATCCAACGTGAGTTGAAAACGAGGATTCATGTTGAGGCCCCCCGGCCCGGGACCCTTGAACTTAGAATGATTGTTGGAAGCTCGTGGTCTTGTTGGACAGCGCCGTCCTGCCACAGAGCTCCAAGCTGTGCTTCCACCATGTGGGATCTCTGGATAAGTTGAAGGTCTGCTTCAGCGTGTGCGTGAAATCGGACTTCCAAAAAATCCGCTCCACCTCAAGATCAGGGCCACGGGAGAGGAACAGGACGGGGGTCTAGGATTCTAAAGAAGCTTTATGGGGTCATATAATAGCAATCACACGTTCTTTTTGGCTTCCACGTTTCGGGTTCAAAGTAGGTTCCAGAAACAAAAGATGGACGGTTGTTCAACTCACTCACCAAACGCCAGCTCTTCAGCCCTAAACCCGGCCCTGAGACCCCCACCCTAAACCCGATGTTCCCAACATGCCTGAGACTTTCGCTCCACAGGGAGCGAAGGCATCTGCCACCACTGCTCGTCGTAGGCTTGGCAAAAGCTCTTGATCTCCTCCATCAGATCTTTCGCCTCCTCCAGATCTTCGGGGAAGCAGGCCAGCTTCACTACCTGAGCGGCGCAAGTTTTTGTGGGTGACCTTGTTATAAGAGCCCTAGGGCCTCTGATGTTCGGAAACTCCCACTTGACATAAGCCTTTCTTTAGAAAGATTACGGCTGCGGCCAAACATATTTCCCCAACTGGGCCCCAAACCCTAAACTCTCTCGAAGTTGGATCCAGGTGCAGAGCCCGAGATGGAGTAACCCATGAAGCTGCCCTCATCCGAGCTTGCAGGCGAGTCATCGGCCTCCGGCATGGAGGAGCGGGACCTGCCACGGATGACCGACTTAACGTAGGTCTTGACGGCATCCAGCCAATTCTGGAACTTCTGCTGTCCAAAATCCTCTTTCAGGACTTGGATAGTCTCCACCTTCTCCTTCAGCCAGTTGCAAGCCTCCTGCACGTCAGCCGCCTTTCCTGTTAGGAGTGCCACCGGTTTGGTTCCATCTTCCTTGGCGACGTCTTGAAGCCCGAATCTGCGAAGGCGAGCCTCAATTCGAGGCCAAGTGCAGTTGAGGAGCTGGTACTCTGCAAACTGTAGCTGCTTCGTCTCGGTCAGAAGGAAGACCTCCTCCGTCTCGATGGACAAGTCCTTAATGTAACTCTCCACCTGCGCCACCTCACCCTCATTCCCTTTCTCATAAACCAAGATGGCTGTCGCCCTGGCACTCGGCCCGGAAGCCACGGAGGATGCCTCCGCAGAGCCAACCGAAATAGCCTTGCCAACCCTATCCTTGAAGGAGACGTTCTTCTCTGTGCATCCCAGCATTCTCGCTCTTTCTGAGGGCGTACAGCTCACAACACGGCTGGCATAGTCCTTGTACACCCGGGCCTCTTCCTGAAACTCGAAAGTCAAGCGATTGCGCTTCTTGAGCTTCTCCACGTCATCGGCCTGGATGCGGGATTTGATAGTGCAATGTTACCGGATGCGTGGTTAACTTCGATGCCTACAGCCCGGGGAAAGCTACGATGTTTCAAACTCTGCACCTTCCAGAGAGTGGGATGCTTCATCTGCATCTGTATCACTTTGCTGCCTGTGCTTGTCTCTGGTGTGAAAGGCTTGTCGCTGAAGGCAATGTCCGTCCTCTTTAGTTGAAGCAGCTTTGCCTTCGCTTGAATCAACAAATCGTGCTTGTGGCGGATAAGATCGATGGTGGCCACACAGTAGCTACCCACCTGTTGAAACTGGTGGATAGCTACTGAACTCACCTGCCAGCAGAGATCCTTGGCGACAGTGTAGTCGAAGCGGCCATTCATCCACACGAAGAGCTGATTTGCACGCAGCGTTACGGCCGGTGGGCTCGCCATGCCTGCCTCGGGAGCTTTGCCAGCTGCCTTGCTTTTCGCCGCACCAAGGCCTGGGATGAAGAGGCACACCCGGCGCATCTGAGCAAGGTTCTGCAGCTTCGCATCGGCATGGAGCTGTGTCGGAGTGAAGCCCTTCACCGACAAGGCTCCATCTTGGACGATGTCCTCCAGGAGACCGGAGATGACATGCCTTGCACGCAGGATGTGCTCCGTGGTCGCAGATGGGTCGGCCACGATCTCAAGCCAACCTGGTGAGCTGTTGAGTGAGAAGGCAGGATGAACGCCCTGGAGCTTCTGCTCGAATTCTGGCATCCTGTTCATGATGCGCAGAAATTTCATCTTGGGCGGCTGAATCTTTAGCCACCTGTCGTCACCCTCATGCGCCTCTTCGCCTGCCAGGCGGCTGTTCTCCACAATCTGCGACCATTCATCCACAATCATGGCTTGGGGCACGTGCTGAAGAAAAGCAGCTTTGGCAGGGGCATTCTTGGAGTAGACGATGCACACCTGGACACCCGGAGAGCATGGACCGTACTTTCGCAGTTGCCTCACGTTGTCACCATAGTCACAGTCTCCCGCGATCAAAACGCAGAGCAACCCCTTCTTCTCGTCCTCGTCTACGTGCGTCCATCGCCTCTCCGCCTAGCAGACAAGGTGACGCAGGACATTTGACTCCTAAATCCCCTAGCCTTGCCTTGTTGAGCAGCTCTTTGAGCTTGACATCAACCGCTCCATCTTTGGTTCCTGGATCCACAAAATTAACACCACATGCGATCATGTTGTTCTTCAGGGCGACGTGTGGTCTCCATTTCTCGATCCCCTTCTTGTCAAAGCTCATGACAAAGTGCCAGTTGAAAGACAAACCTCCGGGACACGTGATTTAGAGACCCTGGCGCCACCACGCAGTTTACATCTCCAAAATCTCTGCAAAGCTGCATGGCAACTACTCTGCAAGGCCTCCTAACCTGCAAGGCACACAAGCATTGTGCTGCTGCATCCTCGCCCAACTGCCTGTGAGATCCTTTGCGGCCGCGACAGTTGGACCCTCCACACACTCCACCAGTCGCCGAAGGAGCTTCTCTTTCAGGACCTCGAACTGGATGAGCCGAGCCTAACAGAAGATGCCTTTCCCTCATGTCAAGACTCAAGCAAGAAAGGGATTGGTCACTCGGCTCTCTCAATTCAACAACTACAGATACATACATATACACAGAAATACATGAAAATTATAGTACGCTATACATGAATTATTCTACATTACATCATGCTATGTTACAGTATATTACAGTGTGGTACATTATACCGACTCGACGGACGCGTGATCCGAGCAGGTTGTGGGCCTTGCCGGGTTTGATCTTCGGAACCTTCTTGAAGCCCGTCGTCTCCATGACCCAGGCGCCATCCGCATCCGTGACCATCTCCGCGTCTGGGATGGGGCAGTTCCTCGGCACAAGCTTTTCAGGAGATGCATGGGATTCCAGCCGACGTCTGGTTTTTCTCATGGATTCTAGCGTTCAAGGTCCGGTAGCAGAGCAGTCAGCAACTCAGCAAATTGAACCAGGATCTGGTTTAGTTTGGCTTTGGCGGAATCGCAAGGCAACTTCACCAGGCGCTCTCGACCTGCGTTACCACCCGCTTGTTCCAACCGTCGAAAGTCTCTCCGTCGTGGTAGATCTCAATGTGGGTTACCACCATGGGCTGGGCCTGCAGCAAACAGCTGGGTTCAAGCACCCCAGAGAGCCCAACATGGCTTAACTAAGGAATCTACAGTAAATTGCGCAGGGATCCTACATGATTTATGGTACGTTCCGATGTTCCTTTATCGAGCCATATTGGGCCCTCTGTGACCTTGAAACGTTCTGGCACACAGCACAGCAGCTCTTAGATGCTCCGGCCTCCTTCTGGGAGCTGGTAGCAGCATAGCTTGCGCCTGAGCATGAAACGAAAATCCACTTTCAGCATCAAACAAGCGGGTTGCAAAATAGACCCCAATATACAACGATCCTACTTATCAGGACTCCTCAAAAAAAGCTCATATGTTTAATGAAAAACCCCCAATATGTGGCTTCAGCCGCAGAGCCTCCATAGCCGTAGCTGGGTGGAGGAGGCGGAGGCGGTGGCGGTGGCATGCCTTCACCAGGCACGGACCAGGCCTGCGCGGCAGTGTAGGGCATGAAGGACACAAAGACATCCTCGCCGTACTGGTCCTCTCCGTAGACGGTCTTCAGGCTCAGGAGTCGGTTCAAGTGCTCCGGCTCCGCGCTCTCCAGTTCGAAGAGAAAGCTGTCCGCAACCGTGCCCTTGAAGCTTAGACGTAGTTGCAAAGAGGCCCAGATCTGCGCCACGATGGAATCGGGATCTGTCACTTGGTTGATTGGCTGATGCGGTACTCGCGCCGAGACCTGCGGCTTGGCTCGCTCGACCACGATGTGTATGCGCTTGTTCGAACACGGGTTCAGCATTCCTGCTTCTTGCCTTTGGAGCATCTTCCTGGAGAAGCTCACAGGGTCACATGGGAGAGCTGGGTTGTCGAAACCGGAAAAACTCGTGTTGCCCCGGAAGGGGCCCTCTAGGATCCTCGAGGTCGGCCTGAAAGCCAGAAGCTTATGGGAACTATGGAGGCTCTTTTTCCCAGCACTGAAGTCCTGATGGCTTCTGGCTTTTCCTCGGCGGCACTGAAGGTCCACTGGTCGAAATCCCGCTTCTCCACGCTCAGCGCAATCCCCTGGACCTTTGCCCAATCAGTCACCTGCTGCGGGGTCAACTCTCCCAGGATCCCGTCAACAACGGTCACCGAGAGTTTCACCATGCTGCGGCAGGAGGGCTTGTGGGCTGAAGGAAAACTCTTGAGCAAGAAATCTTCGGAAGCCGAAGCCAAAATCAGCTACACATGACATTCATCCGCAAGAAGCACTCCAAGTTGCACTTGACTTCTGAGACTGGTCATGCTGAAATCTGCTCCAAAGCCAACAAGTGACAAACTCACTCCAAAATCAAAACAAAACAGCTTCCGAGTGCCACGGGCTAGCTCAGGGACCCCGGCCTAAACGGCGAACCCTGCGTGCCTCGAGGCCGGGCAGTCCAAAACTGACCGGGAGCTTCTGGTTCATGAAGAATTTGTGTTTGCTTCGCTTGACACGGCAGTAGCTCTGACCCTCTCACGACACGCTTCCGCGCCGAACCTAAAAGAAAGCCTGATAGACTCAACATGGCATCCTAGTGCGCCGAGAAGCTGTGGCTCTAAGGCGGGCTGGTTGCCCTCAAAAATGAATCACCGGTCAAGGGGATCCTACGCTGGGTTTTGATCAATACATATTGTTGACAGCCTATTCCTTTGGTCTATCGAAACAGCTCCTGAGTTCCTTTCTTCCTTCGTTGGAGACTGCGTTTTGTTCATGTGAAACCGAAGCACATATATCTTAAGAGACACGTCTTTGGAGCTCCTTTCTTGTTCCTTCCTTGGAGACTGTGCTTTCCTGATGTGGAATCTATCTGTTTGGCTTGTGAAACTGAAAGGCTTGTGAAACTGAAACACACAAAAATAATACAATCGGGTAGAGCCATAAATCAAGACAAAACAATCCGGTGTGAATAGTTAAACCTGTGTAGTCGAACTACACCTTTAATGCTTTGAAGCAGGAAAAGACGCCCCGAGCTTTGCAGTTTCAAAGGGAAACCGCGGAAACCGATTTGGGGAGCCGTTTGGACCACAAAAACCCGCGACGTGCGAGAAAAAACAAGCGAACAACCGCCGTCGTCCTGGAGCCCCGTTGGGAACAGATATCAAATGCTGCCAACTGTTACCTTGTATTATGTTGGCGTTATGTCCACGTCAAAATTTGACGCCTCCGCTTTCGGAAGGCCCAATAAATTGCTCCAGCCGACAGGACCTAATGTTATCTGGTTGAGCAGAACCACCACATGAGAACGAATCCCACTGATTTAATGAGTTTCCGTTTTGCATTTGGTGTCTCTGGATTTCCTTTCAGGTGCTGCTTGATGCTTTCGGCAAAAAGATGCAACCGCAAGCGGTCAGCGCGAGCACCCGAGCGCTTGCCTCAGCTCGCCACTCGCCGTTGCCAGGTACAGCCACCTGATCTCGTGGCGGCAGACCTGCGCGCGCAAGGCGCATCGTTCGGCTCAACGAAAACGGCGCCGCGGCCCTCTGGCTGCATGTCTTCAACTTTGTCGGTTTGGGTTGGTGGTTTGGAGGTTAGGGATGGATGGATGCCAAATTTATGCAGATCTAGATCAAAATCAAACTCTGGCGCTGGTGCCTTTCATTTGTTTCAAAGGTGGGTTCCAAATACGCTTCTTCCCGCTGGAACACCACCAATTTCCTCTGGACGGGACCTGTGAGGTGCCGTCGTGCCAAAATATGGCCCCCTTGTTGGACCGGGTGCTGCCTCGGTCCACAATCCCAACATCCTCCCTCAGGCACAGACCGTGCAGGGCTCAGGCTACCAGTTGTGCCTCAAATGGTGGCACAGCTTCTAGATACTTTTACTTTCAGTGGGCAACAACAGGCATAATTCTCATACTACATGTGATCAAAATCTGAAACACGGCCATAAGGGCCAGCAGTACATTCCAGCCTTTGAGACCTTCTTGTTTTGCAGGGCCCAGCAGACCATGAATTCGGCTCCCTTGAGGCAACACTGCAACGTGGTGAGCCTTCCTGGGGTAGATCTTTCCGTTGTCTCATACGGCAATTCCTTGACTTCCCTACTCAACCCCGGTCAAAAAGTGCATGGGCTGTGGGCCAAACATTGAAACATGGAGCAACCCCAACACTGGCAGACGGAAATTCGGACATTTTCTGCCCCGCGGGGGGCTGGGGCAGCACCGGCGGGCCCCGGACGGTGTCTTCCGGAGTTTCCCGTGAAACGGAGGTCGAAGCAGCGGGTTTTCGGGTTGGAACGGGTCCCCTCTCCACATTGGATGGGACGATTTCTGCAGACAAACCCTTGCCCAGCCATAGACTTCTTGCAAGGAATGAGTGGGAGGCGCAGTCCTGTCTTCCTCGCACCAAGAACGAGCAAAAAATGCGTGTCGTTCGCGTAGGGCGGCCTCCCCGCGACGGACCCCGCCTGTCGCCGCTGTCCCAGCGCGGGCCCTTTCGCTGCCGCCACTGCCTCGGAGCTCCGAGTTGTGAGACCCAGGAGCTCAAGCGATGCTTTATGGGCGGTTTCATGGACCAAAAGGAGCTCAAGAAAGGCACATGTGTAGTCTGACTTTTTGACTTTTGAGCTGGGCCTTGTGGACTTCAAAGACTCATAGGCTGTGCCCAGAACGAAACGGGAAACGCGCTGAATGCTTGGGTCAGTGCACCATTCCAAAGAGTTATGGATGCTTTTGTTGGCAAACTGACACGCGGGAATTCTGAGCTCAGTTGGTGATGGCATGGCGTTGAATCACCCTTGCCCTGGCTCAGTCAACAGTGTTTTTGTGGCGGATTTGTAGGGCTGGCTGAGGCATTAATTATCAGGTTGGCTTGGAGTAGCGCGATTGCGCGAACCGCCAAACAAGCCAACAGCTAACCTGACGGCGGCCCCGAAGCATAGCCCGCAAGCAGTCCTGGTCCATATTGTTGGGTGTGGCTTTGCTTTGTGGAACGGTGTTCCAGGTCGAAACCAAAAGGAAGCCGAGAAAGAACCCGTTTTAAGGGCTCTCCGGGTTCTCCTTTTTGGCAAACCCATCCACCTCAGAAGTTCTACCTTGAACCAGCCCAACGCAACTTTGCCGGCGCCAAATCTGCCATGTCCCATCAAATCATCCAATCAGGCAGCTCCCCAATTCGGACCATAGATTGAGTGAAACCGATGGACATGAAAACCTATTGACAGTCCAATGTGAAAATTGCCAAGCCCAGAGGCTCAGGAAAGGTTAGAATGAGGTCGGAGACGTTTGACAGCACAAACATGTGTGCTTTTGCTGCGGGCATCTTGCCCAGGGTGGTTTAAAGGGAAATGAAAAGGAGCATACCCTCCCCTACTTTGACATATTTCTGAATGGAAACAAAAACAAGCGTCTCTTTTCTTAAGTGGGAACTGGGATAAGCCCACGATTCAAGCAGAGGGACCGTCGACATCTTGGGAGTATCATGCTGGCTCGACAGGGGGGTGAAAGAACGACCCCTCCGAACCCTGCGATTTCCTTTGAGGGGATCCTTAAGCTCACGTCTAAAGCCCCTTACACGATTCCCTAGTCAGAACCAGCAAGATCAGTGTGTTGGATGAATGCATGCAGCCCATGCGTTTTATCGGCAAACAGTTGCACGTCATGTAACATGTAGACATCTCTGAGCTCGAATCCTCCCCTGTGACTGCGATTCTCAAACACGAATTCCTTGTTTTGCAGAGAAAGGCATAGAAAAGCGCAACCTCAGGAAATAGAAAAGCCACTCTGAGAAGGACCTTCGAGGCATCGACCTTTCCTCTGGTGTCTGCGAAGAGCTCGTAGGGAGGATCGAGAAACACCGGCGCCCTCACACCGGGCACGAAGCACGCGGCTGCGAAGCACGGTGTCCCAAAACGTCCATGTCGACTCTTCAAATCGTTCTACTTGGCACCTTCCCACAGGAGTCGAATACTTGCGTGGCATCTTTGGGGGACTCCGAACCACGTAGCTTCCGATGAAAAAACATCCAAGCCACCAGAGCTGCGTCAGGCAGAAGCCACAATACCGCATTTTGTCCTGTGCTTGAAACCCGAAATGTGTAGAAGCCTGTACCTCAGCTTTTGCCCAACCAAAATACAGTGTATGTCTGAGTCTTATTGTGTGCATCTTCAAATCTATTATGGTTGCAATAGCGATCCCGGAAATCTCTCTATATTGGGATGGTCCCTTTAATTCCCCAGTCGTTTGGGGGGGCATTCAATCCCAGCGAAGCAGCGGCCCGGTCTTTGCCTCTCTGGCTGTGCAAAAAGTTCCGCAAGACCCTGGCTCGAGCGCCAAAAGAGTTCGCGACGGGCGAATTCGCGGACTTCCGCCTTGGACAACCCAATCGATCAGAGCGACCCTGGAAAAACAGCCGAAGAAGCCGATCGCCCAGTAAAACCTGACATCCTTTTCGATTCAGAACAGTAGGGATGGACCATTGCTTTAAGGGAGAACCCTCAAAACCAAAATCGGTTAAACAAGGTGGAATCTACTGAACAACTGGGATAAAGTCTGGCAATGTTTGGCATTGTCCCCCCACACAAAAGTCCAATGCCGTTTTCCGCTGGTCGCCTTGGTTCAGCGATTCATCGCCGAGAACCGGGCCGCAAATCCAACAACCTCCTCTGTGCTCTACGGTTGTGGGATTTCGTGTTTTAATCCCCGTTTCTCCGGGTGGCCAAGGGGGCAAACGTAGGGCTGTGGGAAAGGAGGTTTTGGCAGATTTTGGGTGGCCAAGGGTCCTTCAAGTTGCTTCGGGAACAACCAATCTACGTTTTTGTTTTAATGTGTGTGTGTGTGTGTGTTTTGTTCTGATACAAACTTGTTGTCGAGGCGATGTTCGTCCTGTACGCCTGTCAACCGTAGGAAACACGTCACGTTGACACAAAGGTTGAAGATCTGATCTGGGCATGTCCCAAAAAAGTACGAATACCTGCAGCGGTCCCCCCCTGTCACTCATCCAGAATCTCTCGCGTCTTCTGCCAAGTAATTGCCTGTTCCAGAACCCAAGACACGACTCAGCAACGAACCCACACACACACACGTACACCAGCAAAATTATCTTTGTGCCTTCTGGTCCAAGATGTTGTCCACAACCGCTACTCCCGTACCACTGTCAATAGGGTGTATGACATGTGTACGTATATGTACACATCTTATACACACCATTTATACAGTGGTTGATGGTGTGGTTGTACACCCCGTTCCTTGGCGTGGAGACATTTCTCATGAAACAGACTGGGGATCGCACCGGCGTCAGCGCCAGCTGGCCACGCACAGCTCGTTACTGGTGAGCCTTCCGGCCTGAGCGACGATTCGACGAGGGTGGGACGGCCAAAAGGGCGGTGAACATGTGTTGCTTGGAAGATGCCCACCGAAAGGTTGCGGTGCGCCACAAGGGGCAAGGGCTACTTTTGGGGCTTCCACAAAGCCAGGCCAACCTTCACAGGGAAGTGAACATGAACAACTACTCCGTGTCTTAAAATCGAGGCCACCGGTGCTCGATTTTGCGTCAAAACTTTCAGCTAGCAGTCAACAGCCATGTCCATCGCGTGAGCCTAGGTGGCGGGAAGTGACTAGGACGAACCTTGAGATCCCATCAATTTATGTGTAAAGCCTGGATTCTTTGTGTAAACAATATAATTGTTAACAATACGAGTACTATCCTCCACACCATGGGCAGAACGCCAGGCGGCCGCAGCATCTGTTTCTACCGTAGCACAGTCTTCGCAATGCTCCACAGAATTCAAAAAATCAGCTTGCCGCAGGACACTGGATCCCTGCTGGGTTTGAGACTCGCAGAGCTCAACTCCTTAGTGTAGGCCGACATCCAGCAGCCACCAGCTAGGGCGTGGGGAAAGGGCCTGATTTCGACTGAAGCTTCAGCATCAACTTTTGACACTTGAGCGGTGAGCGAACAACAATCCCTCCCCAACACCCTCCAAGCTCGGAGCTACAACGTCCACGCGCTGGCAGCGCTCTCGGCTGCGACAGCTGAACCGAAGGTTACCAAGCCATAGCTCTCAATGTGAAACATCTGCACAGATTGATCCTCCTCGAATACCACCTCGTATAAGACTGTGCACTCCTGGCACTCTGCTCCCTCGAAATTCACTCGAACCGTCCTATGTCCAAACTCTGTTTGCGCAGGGTGGCAAGATGCGGGGCGTCGCAACTAGCATGGAGCCCATGAAAAAGGGGACCGCCAGTGTACAAAGACTTTCCCAGAGGGAAATGTTATATTTGTGTAGGAGGCTGAAAGCAGGGGCTATCAAGAGCTCAAGCGCAAGCTCCTGCAGGTGGGAGACCTTGGTGAGCTTCTGGTTTTTCCCACCCACAATGACCAGGTCACCCTCACTCAGCTGATCTGCACGTTGGGCTCCCTGGCAGCCTGCAATGCGCTCGAAACAAGCTGCACTGACCCACCGGATATGTTCTTTCATGTCAGAATAGTAACAGAAAGTTGGACGAACAACCCAACGCCCAAAGCACCTCCCAGAGACTCAAAACCACACAACGACAGAGGAAACCCCGAAGAACCCTCGCAAACTTCATGCGGCAATCAATCAATGGAGGCAAATGTGGCAGGCGGTGAAGAGGCGTGTCCCGGCAGCAATTTGCCCTTACGCGTGCCCCACCTGGCCCAGGCACTGCCACGCGATGATCCTTGGACACTGTGAAGCGCCCCTCGCTCGTGGTGAGCTGCACCAAGTCGTAGGGCCTCTTGCGGTGCGCCTCGATGCGAACCACCTTGGCGTCAGTCAGGTCGCGCAGGCGCACGCGGTCGCCGATCCTCAGCTTCTCCACGCGCAGCAAGTGGCCGTCCGCTCCCGGCAGGACCGTGTTGGGTGGGAAGCACTTTGCCGATCGGCTGCTCACATCGCTGATGGACTGTGCATCTGACTGGTCTCCAGTGTTAACAAGAATAAAGGAGTTGGCGGACTGAACATCTGATTGATCTCCAACAAGAGAGAAGGAGTCCGTGATATTGTTGAGGACCGGGGTTGCGCCTGAGGCCAGGTACCCCACATGCTTCAACTATTGCTGGTAAGCCGGACTCTGAACAGTTGCAACCAGCGGGCAACCAGCGGGCCTGGAGCTTCATCTCGAGAATCGCTCGTGTCAGGGTGGATGAAGGCCTCGTCCAACAGAAGTGGCACATCGTGTTTCCACAGCTGACTCTCACATGTTGGGATACAACTACATGCCCTTGGAGTAGCTGGCCGGGAATGGCGTCTCTATATTCTGCAACCACCAGTATGTCATTCATAACATGATATGTCCGGTTGGTTAGTATCCAAGGTGTGGCATTTTTCTCTTCAGCGGATTGCGTTGACTCCGGAGGTGCAGAAGTCAGGGCAACTGGCACGGCGCATCTTGCAGCTCAAGGAGGATTGCGACGATGTTTTGGCGCCCCAGCGCAACTAAATCGCCGTATGTGGTCCATGTTGCGGTGATGAACGAGAGGCTTTTCGCGACTCAAATGAGGCTTTTCGTGGCTCAAACGGAATGACAGTCCAAGGGGGCCTCGCGGCAACACAATACATTTCTTTATGCGCCGCTAAGTTCCATTGCTACAGTAGCTCGTTTCAACAAATGCTCGAGGCCCATCCGGTGGTTCTCACGCTGCACAGCCTCGACTTTCTTCATCTCCTCTGCCTTCTGCCGCGCCAACTCGTCCAGCTGCTTCTGCAAGCTTTGCGCGATCTCCGCCTTCTGCTGCTTCTCCGTCTCAAGCTCTTCCATCAGCAATTCAATCTTCTGCTGCAAAGCCTTGATCTCATGCTGCGCGGACTCGACTTTCTGTGTTTCCTCTTCCTTCTCCTGCGTCAGCAGCTCATGGCGGCGCTTGGACTCGTCCAGCTGCTTCCGCAAGTGCTCCTTCTCCTGCTGGATCTCCGCCTTCTGCAGCTTCTCCGTCTCAAGCTGCTCCATCAGCGAATCAATCCTCTGGTGCAATGCCTTGTTCTCATGCTGCGTGGACTCGAATTTATGTGTTTCCTCTTCTTTCTTCTGCGTCAGCAGCTCATAGCGGCGCTTGGATTCGTCCAGCTGCTGCTGCAATTTCTGCTTCTTGTGCTGGATCTCAGCCTTCTGCAGCTTCTCCGTTGTAAGTTCCTCCGTAAGCTGGTCGATGCGGGCTTGGAGCTGCGCGTGGGCGGGCGGCGGGCTCTGCAGGGTTCCAGGCCCAGGCGGGGGAAGCAACGAGACATCGAAGCGGTCCACATGTGCTGAAAACGTGCACAGCTCCAACTGCGGCTCGGAACTTTCGAAGGTCGCCTCCAGCACCAGCCTCTCCCCGGCCTCCAGCCACAGCTCCCACCGCCCCGCGGCCTTCTCCCAGCGCAGCCGCACCGAACCGCGGCCGGGGAGGTCGTGGCGCTGCCACCGGCCGCCCGGAAGCTGCTCTTCGACCCAGCGCCAGCCGTCCGGGTGGAAGCCGACCTGCGCCACGTGCCTCGGCGCCGCCCCAGGCCGCAGCTCGCGGAGGTAAGCCGAGGACCAGTCGGGCGCCTGAGGCCGGGGGCGCAGCTCCAGGCCTTCGGCGCCGCTCGCGGGCCACGGCGCTGTGGAGCGGCAGCCGTCCCGGCCTGCGGCTTGCCACACGAGCTCCGAGGGGGCCATGGCTTGGGACGCTGTGAGAGGCGGAAAGGCGGAGACTTCTGAGACTTTTGAAGCCAGAAATCTGCTCAAAACGCACTCCGAGTCAAATCAAAACATCTTCCGAGTGCCAAGATCAACACTGCTCCAGCTTGCACTCGAAATCATCTACATCCAAACTGCAGAAGCCTTTGCCGGCACTTGCGCGTCAAGGCCCCCGGCCCAAACTGCGTGCCCTGCTTGTTGCAGCTGGAAGCCTTGAGGCCGGGCAGCTGAGCAGTCCAAAACTGACCAGGCGCTTCTGGCTCATGAAGAACTTGTGTTTGCTTCGTTTGACATGACTATAGCTCTGACCTTCTCACGATACGCTTCCATCCCGAACCCGAAAGAAAGTCTGATACACACAACATGGCATCCTACGCACTGAGCTTTGGCTCTTGGGTGGGCAGATTCATGACCTCAAGAAATGAATATGTTCCTTTGGTCTATCAAACCAGTTGCTCCTTGGAGTTCCTTTCTTTCTCCTTTGGAGAAGCTGTGTTTTGTTAGTGTGAAACTAAAGCACACATATCTTGAGAAACGCAGATCGTCTCAACGGCTAGAATCCGATAACTATTTTGAAACCACCAAACAATCCGGTCACCAATAAATAACTAAGCCTGGGTAGTGGAACTACACTAAAGGGCGATGTCCAAGCCGGATCCGGCATTGAACTGGGCTTGTAGCCGAAACCATTCTTTCCAGGGACCCGATGCTTTCTGGCAACCACGAAACCGCTAGACACACACATGCGCACACACACATATTTGTGTGCGAAGAATCTGGAAAGAATGTGCGCGTGTGGCTGGATCGGTTTTTGGTTGGAAAGAATGTCCCCTAAAGAGTCGGTCCAGAAAACCACCAAAGCCGACCCAAGGCCAATGTTCTTTTTCAAAAGAGCGATGGTTGCAAAGGATGCAAGAGGTATCCAGCCATGGAATGCCTATTTTATTGAGCCCACTCATGGGATGTTAACGAAACCAGCCAGGTTCATGGCGGTTGACCAACCACAACTACCTATCAGTTCAATTTGGTATCACAGAAAGTGGCAACCCAAACCCTATGGGGACGGGGTTTCACGTGCCAGCAACAACGTGGTTGTTCTTTGCAGCCCACCACTAAACATCAACTAGGAAAAAGCAAAACAACAAGCTGTAAAACACGTCAACCAAGAACGTAGGTCTCTTAACTTTGTCCTTTTTTGGGGAGGGGGTCCCTTAAAATCAACCATCCCAAAAAGCGTGCCCCCTGCCAGGGTCCAGGCCAGCCAGCACAAGGAGGAAGATCCACAGAACGGGCCATGGCTTCGGACAGCGAAATGGGCTGGCGGGGTTTGGTTTCCCTTGAAACTTCAAAAAAACGGCTCCCTCGAAAAGAGACACGCCTTTGTTTGATTTTTGGAGGAGTGTTAGATGCTCCCGCAGATTACCCTCATGTTTGCCACACAAAGAAAGGACCAAGTTCCCCTAAAAACACCCGTTATCATTGGCTCTTGCCCCAAAAGCCAAGTCAGAGCTCCCTCAAACGGCGCAGGCTTCTTGGAGCCCCGGTGTCAACGCCGAATTTCGTATTGACCGCGTCTCGCATCGCCCTCGTACCATGCTGCAAGGACTTGGATCGCATTTGATTTCGACTCCGCACCACACCCTCCCTCGGAGGGTCATAGGTCTCCATTTTGGAGGTGGCTCCCTGACCCCTGCCCCACACTCAAGTTTTTACAATGTTTCCAAGGTTCAAAGGGCAGAGATCCTACCCTCAGCGTGTTTCGATGTAGAGGAGGACGCTGTGTATCTTGGCTGCCTTGACCAAAGTGACGCGAGTGCCAGAGTGCAAAAGGCTTGCCGGCCTGGAACAAAAGCCAGGTTCGCCGAGCAAGGTTCCCCTTCAAAGCGGTCCCAAGTTACGTGCAACTTCCCAGCCTCTTCCCATGGCCCAATCTAGTAGCTTTCGGCCTCCCAAAAAGAAGAAGAAGCTTTCCTGCGCCTGCGAAAGCGAACATGGGCTTAAAACATGTGTCTCGCCTGACTGCACGCGCTTCCGTACATATTTTTGCCTTTTTTCTCCATGGACTGATGTCTAGAGGGGACCTACAAGCAACCCTGCAGGAACCTGGCGGCTTGTGGCGGGCAATTGGACCAAGGACCGCTTGCATCGTGTGTTACCCACTGTGCGTGGCGTAAAAGCTGCAGCTGCTAGCCTGCAGTTGCGTGCCAAGCCCACCTGCCTGAGCCCTACTTGCAGTCATATGCATGCATCAACAGAAGGAAGGGTTTTAGCCCTTTCGCGCACCTTTCGCGATGCTTTCGTGGTCTAGGATTCATCAACGTACGTTTGACAACGATATTTCCTCCTGAATACTACTTTCAAACGTGGGGGTTTTAGACCGTCGCTCAATTGCTACTCATTCAACCCATCCTGCCCATCAATGCACCCAAACACCGTGCATACTTCCATCTGTCTAGCTCTCGGTTGGTTGATTCCAGGTTTGGTTCGCAAACCGAACCCCCATCCGTCGCCATCCATCCACCTTACAAAACCCGTAGCCCAAAATGGCGTCCGTCTCCACTTGGGCTGCCCCGTCAACCCAGAGATCCCTGGCAGCTCACGTCTTTTGAAACTCTGCCTGTGTGCTTGGGGGTGGTGGGGGGGGAGGGAAAGTTGCCCTCCCCTCTACCCACCCCCCTCTATAGCTTCCTAGCCTGGTCGCAATCCTGGGCCCATTGCAATCCGCAACGCGCTTAATCCTTGTTTTGTTTGGTAGTCTTCTTGATCCGTAATCCGCTGCAAACTTTGGATCAACACTGTATTTCGGAGCATGGAAGATCCACAAGCCGCAGTGGGTGTTAGATTCTGAACAAGCTAGGCTTCTATGTACAGTGCGACTCGCAGTCGCTCCAATTCCATCATTCACCATGCGGAAGCAATGCTTCGACCAGTTCACCTGTCAAAACTCCATTGCGAAGTTACATCTGGGAGGGGTCGTTCTTGCTCTTTTCTTGGGAAACACGCATATCCCAGTTGCAAAGTTGGATGGTCAATGGAGCAATCAAGCTGTATGTGTGTGTGTGTGTATATATATATATATATATATATATATATATGTAATTGCGCAAATTATCTACAACAAGTCGGGGAAGCCGCCAGCTAGCCAGTTTATAGGTGGGGGCATTCGGATTTAACTGTCAGGTAGCTTGTGTTTTTTTTGTTTTGTTTAAGGATTTGTTAAAGACGGACTACTGCAAAAGCATTTGCTTTTGGTTGTGCTCCTTGATCAAGAACGAAATCTAAGGGGCAATGTGGGGACTGCGGTTAAAGCTTGAGAAAATGGACATACGGTCGCAAAGTGGGTGTGGTTGACCGGGACATGTAGGGGCTCTGGTGAAAAAGCTTGTTGCGTGCTGTTGGCGCATGTTGTTTCTGTTGAGTTCCGCCCTGCGCTGATGCAATTGCCCACACCTATCAACTGCCCAAATAAGCATTGTAGGCTTAGCTGGAATCATGCCCTTTACAACGCCCTTTATAACCTGCAAAGGAGAGCACCAGGCGGCGCCATGGCAGAGTTGCATGCGAATTTGGCGGATGGCGCCCGTGCCACTGCTGGGGGCCCCGCAAGTAATTGCTCGGCCGAAACCCACAGCCCACACATGCGCTGTCACTAGAAGGGTGCGCTCAAGTTGCGCAATCCTCATGGATTCTAGTGGAAATTGCCCAGGAAACCGGAGGCCGCCCTAAAGCTTCGGAAGAAACCTTTGGCTCCAAAACCTGCTGAGAACCTTTCTGGCCGCACATGCCTCTACTTCATCCCGAGTCCAAGTCCCCACTGAGGCACTTTAATCCCTTCTACCCCCAGACTCAATGAGCCTTTGGAACTGAGGTTGGCTTGCAACCCATCAGAAACTCAAATGGGAAGCCGAAAGAAAACTCGAGCGATTCCGAAAGGTGAAAAAAACCCTCGAGCGATTCCGACTGGCCTCATCGCCACCGCCAGGCCTAAAGGAACTGGAGCTGAAAGTGACACTCCAAAGCCAGGGCTTAGGGACCGGGCACCTGGGGCAGGGAGGAGGGAAAGGATCGCCTTGGATTTTTATCGCCCCCGGCCCATTCATGATTTGCCAAGGCGCCAAGCCCCAGCTTGATGACCTTAAGGCCAAAAATATGGACCCCGGGCTGCCACAAAGGGCCACCAACACCCAAAAGCCCGCAGCTCATGCGCCAAAAAAAAGAGGTGAGGCGGCCAATCAAACGCGGGGCGACTCCCGCCCATTGTGTTTCCGTGTGTATTTTTGTTTTCCCTTCTTCAAGCGACCTTCGGTGTGCTTACTTCACTTGCGCGTGCTCGCTATTGTCGCCACCACTGAACAATCGATGACATATATATATATATATGTATATAACATGTATATACAATGGTTGTCCTGGTAAATGACCCCAGATGGGTGGGCTATTTTCCACAAAATGTTGGGACAAAGCCCTAATTGTCCCTTGTCCAAGACCGCTCATATCTCCGTTTTGGGTTACCTAGTTGCTAGTTGAAACGGAAACCCTAGGGAATAACAAAAAGGCAAAAGGCTGGCACCTGCAGATTCACGCGGAACGCAAAAGCCGTCATATTAACCGGCTTCTGGGGTTCCATACTAACAGTAGGGGGGTCAGCAAGCCGAGTCTGCGATGCTCTGAGCTGCCGGGCTCCTCGCTGCCGTCGATAGTTTGCGCCAGCAGCGGCTGCCTGTGCATCCAGGGCTTCAGGACGACAAACTGAATGGAGCTAGAGACGCCTGATTTTAAGGTTTTGGCCACAGACCACAAGCACAACATTGGCGGAGTTTGGCTTTTGTTTTTTTCCAACTCAACCTCTTTGACCAATTCTTGCCATTTGGCTCATGGCTCCCATCAAGCAGGCAAAGGTTGAAGAACCTGATCACGGCCCATTCCAAAAGCTAAACCAAGGTCCGATTTGCCCTTTATTAAAACCAGGAGGGAAAATGAAGACAGAAAGACTTCAGCCTTCACTGGGTGTTTTTTCAAATCTCCTGCTAGATGATGTGAAACCCGAAAAGGGGCAAATAGTGTCCGAGGCAAGGACTCATACGTACTACTCGCTGCGCTACTCCCCCACTACGTCCAGCAACTTCTTCGAGATCGTCATTTGGACTACTTCATAAGGGACTACCTCAACCACTCCACTTCCATCTTGAGCGGCATCAACGACCTCCAGAGCGCTCACTACATCCGGTACAACTTCAGCACTTTCAACGACCACTACACGCTCAACAGCGGTTTCGTCTGGGACCACCTGGATGCCCACCAACTACTCCAATTCCTTCAACTACATTCAGCTGACACAATCAACAGAGCCACGACATGCATACTACTCAAACCTTCTCGCCGCTACACATGGCTCACCGCAACTTCACCAACCCCTCACAACACTGCACCGGCTTCAGTGTGCCCAAATTTGGGACTACAGCCGAATGCTGCCCGTCCTCTGCGGCTGCGGCTCTGGCCTCGCCAATCCAACAATCGAGGGCCCAGACATGACGAAGCCTTCCATCGTATAAACTGTTCCAGTCTTGATAGCAACCTTGAAATGCCCAAGCAATGTGTTTGGCAAATCCTCGTACTTGACCTTGTGGAAATTGTGCTGGGAAGACTTTCAAAAGCGGATTGGACAAAATAGTCGCAAGCGTTTACAACAGTTGCACAGTACACATGTTTGTTTCACTACAAAATCAGCCGGCATACATTTTCGGGTAGATGCGACGCAACAGCCATGGATCGACCCCTGCTTTCACGTCCTTCTACAACCCCCTTTACATTTGGGACATCCTTTGCATGACAGTTTGTACATGTGTCTGACAATGCTTTGATGCATGCTGCAGCCGTTTGCACATGTTTGGTTGTACAGTTTGGAATACACTTCCAGACAATGGCTCTTGTCCACATTGGACAATACATGCCTCAGGAGAAGACAAGCATCTGGGACGAGACGGTCCACATGATCTTCAACACAAGCCCACCCACCTTCTTTCAGAAGGGATGACCAGCACAAGCAGACTACAGGAGTGTTACGCGGTCTCGTTCGTGTTCAACGTCAATCGTTTGGTGGAATACAGCCCGATGGGCTACATTACCACTTTCAGCAAGGGCCACGAGATTCTTCAGGTACAGCTGATGCCACACGCGACCTCCAGCGGTGTTCCACATCAGCCACCCAAACAACATTCTGGAGCTTTTGAGAACTTACACATTGCGAACAAGATACATCTGTAGTGGACAGTCAGTGATTCAGGCTTCAAGACTAAATGCACTGCCAGCTACATCTTTGATGCACGCTAGAATTGCGCAGGCTATTGATTACATGCCTGTATCCAGCAGTACCTTAGCACAAAAAATCAACAGGTTGTTCTGCGACATTTGCAGGCTACAGGGAACCACAGTACACGGACCTCAGTCACATGTCCTTTGGACAGCCTGCAAGGACTGTAGGTCACAACACACATGTGGTGACCAAAATCTTGCAGTCTCACACAGACTACATTCTGGAGGTCAACAATCGCACCTCATGCATCCTTGAGGCAATGGGAACAGCCCCTTCCGACATGAAGGACACAGGCTGAGTACGTTTGCCACATGGCACACCGCATTTCGCACGCAAGGAGCCGGCAAGGGACATACCTGAGAACATTTGCCTGGAGATCAGTTTGCATGCAGCTTGCCTTACATCATCTCGAACCACAAGGCCGTTTGTACATCCGTCATTCAGCTTGCCCTACATGTAGCACACGCTGTATCAAGGCCTTGAGTCAGCATAGCGCCAGTACAAAAGGAGTGCTACACTGCCGGTTTGATTCAGGTAAACAGGGCAACAGTGGCTCCAAGCTTAACATGAATCATGACATATATATATATATATATGTGGGTCTGTCTTCCCCCTGAGCCCCGCACCCGCTCTTCTTGGAGCAGCCTCATGACTGCCCTGAGCTTCTCTCGCTCCTGCCACAGTCTCTTTGCGCACCACAGCTAAGGGAAGCCGGGGGCACTTACTCTCCGTAAAATTCTGTGGCACCGCCCACAAACTGTTGCTACATGAAGTTTAGGGCGTGTTGCCCCGAAACCATTACCATGTATTGATTTCAACTGTTAAGCTTGTCAACACTTCGAAGAACCATGTAAGAGATCCGCTTCGGAGAAACCATTTACACAACTTTCATCACCGGAACTTGCTCAACAGTTGCAAATGCTGAACTGCTCCTGGACGCCACTCAGCTGGCCAGCCACGGCCTGCGCGTCGACCACAGCGCCAGTCACGGCGTTCACATGGCCGTTCACGGCGTTCTGCACGTCGGCCGCAGCTCTGGCGGCGCTGTCCTGAAATCACAAAAGATGGGTTGAGAGCCTCAACACCTCCAGGCTCCTCCAAAGGCCCCTAGTAATGCCTTGCATCGTTGAAAAAGGGTTGGGCGTACCCCTCTTTCCAGCTGCAAAGCGGGATTGGGCAGGGTAGCTTTTGAAAGCTTCGCGGAAAAGGCTGTTGGGGTCCTTTGCCAGATGAAGTAACTACGCGTTTCTTCACGTGCGGCAATGAGCTGTTTCGCTTTGAGAAAACAACAATCAAGGACACACTGGCGCAAGTGGAGTTTGCATCGCCAGCTGGTGGTGTGAATTTCCCCCTTCGATTATAAAGAAGCTGCTATGGGTTGGCCGCCTTCATGGTCATGCCAAACTTCGGAAACTGGTCCTTGGCCTTAATCAAAAGGGGTGGGAATGCACCCAAAGCTCGCCTTGGACAAAAGAGCATCGTTCCTTGGGTATGCCAAAGTTCATCTGCTTGGAGACGCCTGAAAAATTGTTCCCTCCTCAAGGTGTTGCTTCAGTCGAGGAAACCAACCTAGCTCGGACTTCAGCCGCTGGCCACAAGACCTTCCCGTGCTGCCTCCCAGCTATGAGAGCATTGCCCCTAGCCAATGTTCATTCATCCCCGATTGAATCCAACTTTGGCGCCATCGCGAGCTTGCCTTTAAACAGCCAACAATCCATCAAATACATGGGGCTCATGTTTACAAGATTGTCTTGTAGAAATCAAGCATCCCAATGAAAACCGCGGCAAACACACACACACACACACCGAAACGTAAATAGCATTGCTCCTTTCAACATAGCATTGCCAGCAAAATCAGGGCTGCCTGTGCATTCAGGGCTTCAGGACGACAAATTATACAAATCTCCTGCCAGTTGATGTGAAACCCGAAAAGGGGCAAATAGTGTCCGAGGCAAGGACTCATACGTACTACTCGCTGCGCTACTCCCCCACTACGTCCAGCAACTTCTTCGAGATCGTCATTTGGACTACTTCATAAGGGACTACCTCAACCACTCCACTTCCATCTTGAGCGGCATCAACAACCTCCAGAGCGCTCACTACATCCGGTACAACTTCAGCACTTTCAACGACCACTACACGCTCAACAGCGGTTCCGTCTGGGACCACCTGGATGCACACCAACTACTCCAATTCCTTCAACTACATTCTGCTGACACAATCAACAGAGCCACGACATGCATACTACTCAAACCTTCTCGCCGCTACACATGGCTCACCGCAACTTCACCAACCCCTCACAACACTGCAACGGCTTCAGTGTGCCCAAAGGACTACAGCCGAATGCTGCCCGTCCTCTGCGGCTGCGGCTCTGGCCTCGCCAATCCAACAATCGAGGGCCCAGACATGACGAAGCCTTCCTTCGTATAAACTGTTCCAGTCTTGATAGCAACCTTGAAATGCCCAAGCAATGTATTTGGCAAATTATCGTACTTGACCTTGTGGAAATTGTGCTGGGAAGACTAGCGGATTGGACAAAATAGTCGCAAGCGTTTGCAACAGTTGCGCAGTACACATGTTTGTTTCACTACTAAATCAGCCGGCATACATTTTCGGGTAGATGCGACGCAACAGCCATGGATCGACCCCTGCTTTCACGTCCTTCTACAACCCCCTTTACATTTGGGACATCCTTTGCATGACAGTTTGTACATGTGTCTGACAATGCTTTGATGCATGCTGCAGCCGTTTGCACATGTTTGGTTTGTACAGTTTGGAATACACTTCCAGACAATGGCTCTTGTCCACATTGGACAATACATGCCTCAGGAGAAGACAAGCATCTGGGACGAGACGGTCTACATGATCTTCAACACAAGCCCACCTTCTTTCAGAAGGGATGACCAGCACAAGCAGACTACAGGAGTGTTACGCGGTCTCGTTCGTGTTCAACGTCAATCGTTTGGTGGAATACAGCCCGATGGGCTACATTACCACTTTCAGCAAGGGCCACGAGATTCTTCAGGTACAGCTGATGCCACACGCGACCTCCAGCGGTGTTCCACATCAGCCACCCAAACAACATTCTGGAGCTTTTGAGAACTTACACATTGCGAACAAGATACATCTGTAGTGGACAGTCAGTGATTCAGGCTTCAAGACTAAATGCACTGCCAGCTACATCTTTGATGCACGCTAGAATTGCGCAGGCTATTGATTACATGCCTGTATCCAGCAGTACCTTAGCACAAAAAATCAACAGGTTGTTCTGCGACATTTGCAGGCTACAGGGAACCACAGTACACGGACCTCAGTCACATGTCCTTTGGACAGCCTGCAAGGACTGTAGGTCACAACACACATGTGGTGACCAAAATCGTGCAGTCTCACACAAACTACATTCTGGAGGTCATCAATCGCACCTCATGCATCCTTGAGGCAATGGGAACAGCCCCTTCCGACATGAAGGACACAGGCCGAGTACGTTTGCCACATGGCACACCGCATTTCGCACGCAAGGAGCCGGCAAGGGACATACCTGAGAACATTTGCCTGGAGATCAGTTTGCATGCAGCTTGCCTTACATCATCTCGAACCACAAGGCCGTTTGTACATCCGTCCTTCAGCTTGCCCTACATGTAGCACACGCTGTATCAAGGCCTTGAGTCAGCATAGCGCCAGTACAAAAGGAGTGCTACACTGCCGGTTTGATTCAGGTAAACAGGGCAACAGTGGCTCCAAGCTTAACATGAATCATGACATATATATATATATATGTGGGTCTGTCTTCCCCCTGAGCCCCGCACCCGCTCTTCTTGGAGCAGCCTCATGGCTGCCCTGAGCTTCTCTCGCTCCTGCCACAGTCTCTTTGCGCACCACAGTTAAGGGAAGCCGGGGGCACTTGCTCTCCGTAAAATTCTGTGGCACCGCCCACAAACTGTTGCTACATGAAGTTAAGGGCGTGTTGCCCCGAAACCATTACCATGTATTGATTTCAACTGTTAAGCTTGTCAACACTTCGAAGAACCATGTAAGAGATCCGCTTCGGAGAAACCATTTACACAACTTTCATCACCGGAACTTGCTCAACAGTTGCAAATGCTGAACTGCTCCTGGACGCCACTCAGCTGGCCAGCCACGGCCTGCGCGTCGACCACAGCGCCAGTCACGGCGTTCACATGGCCGTTCACGGCGTTCTGCACGTCGGCCGCAGCTCTGGCGGCGCTGTCCTGAAATCACAAAAGATGGGTTGAGAGCCTCAACACCTCCAGGCTCCTCCAAAGGCCCCTAGTAATGCCTTGCATCGTTGAAAAAGGGTTGGGCGTACCCCTCTTTTCAGCTGCCAAGCGGGATTGGGCAGGGTAGCTTTTGAAAGCTTCACGGAAAAGGCTGTTGGGGTCCTTTGCCAGATGAAGTAACTACGCGTTTCTTCACGTGCGGCAATGAGCTGTTTCGCTTTGAGAAAACAACAATCAAGGACACACTGGCGCAAGTGGAGTTTGCATCGCCAGCTGGTGGTGTGAATTTCCCCCTTCGATTATAAAGAAGCTGCTATGGGTTGGCCGCCTTCATGGTCATGCCAAACTTCGGAAACTGGTCCTTGGCCTTAATCAAAAGGGGTGGGAATGCACCCAAAGCTCGCCTTGGACAAAAGAGCATTGTTCCTTGGGTATGCCAAAGTTCATCTGCTTGGAGACGCCTGAAAAATTGTTCCCTCCTCAAGGTGTTGCTTCAGTCGAGGAAACCAACCTAGCTCGGACTTCAGCCGCTGGCCACAAGACCTTCCCGTGCTGCCTCCCAGCTATGAGAGCATTGCCCCTAGCCAATGTTCATTCATCCCCGATTGAATCCAACTTTGGCGCCATCGCGAGCTTGCCTTTAAACAGCCAACAATCCATCAAATACATGGGGCTCATGTTTACAAGATTGTCTTGTAGAAATCAAGCATCCCAATGAAAACCGCGGCAAACACACACACACACACACACGAAACGTAAATAGCATTGCTCCTTTCAACATAGCATTGCCAGCAAAATCAGGGCTGCCTGTGCATTCAGGGCTTCAGGACGACAAATTATACAAATCTCCTGCCAGTTGATGTGAAACCCGAAAAGGGGCAAATAGTGTCCGAGGCAAGGACTCATACGTACTACTCGCTGCGCTACTCCCCCACTACGTCCAGCAACTTCTTCGAGATCGTCATTTGGACTACTTCATAAGGGACTATCTCAACCACTCCACTTCCATCTTGAGCGGCATCAACAACCTCCAGAGCGCTCACTACATCCGGTACAACTTCAGCACTTTCAACGACCACTACACGCTCAACAGCGGTTTCGTCTGGGACCACCTGGATGCACACCAACTACTCCAATTCCTTCAACTACATTCTGCTGACACAATCAACAGAGCCACGACATGCATACTACTCAAACCTTCTCGCTGCTACACATGGCTCACCGCAACTTCACCAACCCCTCACAACACTGCAACGGCTTCAGTGTGCCCAAAGGACTACAGCCGAATGCTGCCCGTCCTCTGCGGCTGCGGCTCTGGCCTCGCCAATCCAACAATCGAGGGCCCAGACATGACGAAGCCTTCCTTCGTATAAACTGTTCCAGTCTTGATAGCAACCTTGAAATGCCCAAGCAATGTATTTGGCAAATTATCGTACTTGACCTTGTGGAAATTGTGCTGGGAAGACTAGCGGATTGGACAAAATAGTCGCAAGCGTTTGCAACAGTTGCGCAGTACACATGTTTGTTTCACTACTAAATCAGCCGGCACACATTTTCGGGTAGATGCGACGCAACAGCCATGGATCGACCCCTGCTTTCACGTCCTTCTACAACCCCCTTTACATTTGGGACATCCTTTGCATGACAGTTTGTACATATGTCTGACAATGCTTTGATGCATGCTGCAGCCGTTTGCAGTTTGGAATACACTTCCAGACAATGGCTCTTGTCCACATTGGACAAGACATGCCTTAGGAGAAGACAAGCATCTGGGACGAGACGGTTTAGATGATCTTCAACACAAGCCCACCCACCTTCTTTCAGAGAAGGGATGACCAGCACAAGCAGACTACAGGAGTGTTACGCGGTCTCGTTCGTGTTCAACGTCAATCGTTTGGTGGAATACAGCCCGATGGGCTACATTACCACTTTCAGCAAGGGCCACGAGATTCTTCAGGTACAGCTGATGCCACACGCGACCTCCACCGGTGTTCCACATCAGCCACCCAAACAACATTCTGGAGCTTTTGAGAACTTACACATTGCGAACAAGATACATCTGTAGTGGACAGTCAGTGATTCAGGCTTCAAGACTAAATGCACTGCCAGCTACATCTTTGATGCACGCTAGAATTGCGCAGGCTATTGATTACATGCCTGTATCCAGCAGTACCTTAGCGCAGAAAATCAACAGATTCTTCTGCGACATTTGCAGGCTACAGGGAACCACAGTACACGGACCTCAGTCACATGTCCTTTGGACAGCCTGCAAGGACTGTAGGTCACAACACACATGTGGTGACCAAAATCTTGCAGTCTCACACAGACTACATTCTGGAGGTCATCAATCGCACCTCATGCAGCCTTGAGGCAATGGGAACAGCCCCTTCCGACATGAAGGACACAGGCCGAGTACGTTTGCCACATGGCACACCGCATTTCGCACGCAAGGAGCCGGCAAGGGACATACCTGAGAACATTTGCCTGGAGATCAGTTTGCATGCAGCTTGCCTTACATCATCTCGAACCACAAGGCCGTTTGTACATCCGTCCTTCAGCTTGCCCTACATGTAGCACACGCTGTATCAAGGCCTTGAGTCAGCATAGCGCCAGTACAAAAGGAGTGCTACACTGCCGGTTTGATTCAGGTAAACAGGGCAACAGTGGCTCCAAGCTTAACATGAATCATGACATATATATATATATATATACATATATGTGGGTCTGTCTTCCCCCTGAGCCCCGCGCCCGCTCTTCTTGGAGCAGCCTCATGGCTGCCCTGAGCTTCTCTCGCTCCTGCCACAGTCTCTTTGCGAACCACAGTTATGGGAAGCCGGGGGCACTTACTCTCCGTAAAATTCTGTGGCACCGCCCACAAACTGTTGCTACATGAAGTTAAGGGCGTGTTGCCCCGAAACCATTACCATGTATTGATTTCAACTGTTAAGCTTGTCAACACTTCGAAGAACCATGTACACAGAGATCCGCTTCGGAGAAACCATTTACACAACTTTCATCACCGGAACTTGCCCAACACCAGTTGCAAATGCTGAACTGCTCCTGGACGCCACTCAGCTGGCCAGCCACGGCCTGCGCGTCGACCACAGCGCCAGTCACGGCGTTCACATGGCCGTTCACGGCGTTCTGCACGTCGGCCGCAGCTCTGGCGGAGCTGTCCTGAAATCACAAAAGATGGGTTGAGAGCCTCAACACCTCCAGGCTCCTCCAAAGGCCCCTCATAATGCCTTGCATCGTTGAAAAAGGGTTGGGCCTACCCCTCTTTTCAGCTGCCAAGCGGGATTGGGCAGGGTAGCTTTTGAAAGCTTCACGGAAAAGGCTGTTGGGGTCCTTTGCCAGATGAAGTATCTACGCGTTTCTTCACGTGCGGCAATGAGCTGTTTCGCTTTGAGAAAACAACAATCAAGGACACACTGGCGCAAGTGGAGTTTGCATCGCCAGCTGGTGGTGTGCCCTTCGATTATAAAGAAGCTGCTATGGGTTGGCCGCCTTCATGGTCATGCCAAACGGAAACTGGTCCTTGGCCTTGGAATCAAAAGGGGTGGGAATGCACCCAAAGCTCGCCTTGGACAAAAGAGCATCGTTCCTTGGGTATGCCAAAGTTCATCTGCTTGGAGACGCCTGAACAAGTGTTCCCTCCTCAAGGTGTTGTTTCAGTCGAGAAAACCAACCTACTGGCCACAAGACCTTCCCGCGCCGCCTCCCAGCTATGAGAGCATTGCCCCTAGCCAATGTTCATTCATCCCCGATTGAATCCAACTTTGGTGCCATCGCGAGCTTGCCTTTATACAGCCAACAATCCATCAAATACATGGGGCTCATGTTTAGAAGATCATCTTGTGTAAAACCAATAGAAATCAAGCATCCCAAAATTCCGCTTCTAAAGGGCTCAAAACATATGCCCTGAATAAAGCTAATGGTCTGGGTCCTTCGTGGTAATGACGTCTAATCAGAAAGCAGTTCAAAAGCATTGCGTCTCCTTCCAAAATAGTATTGCCAGAAAATACTGACCCTAAATAAAGCGAATGATCTGGGCCACTTCCGCAATCTGGGCCACTTTCGGAAATAGACCCAAATGCAAAGGCTATTCGATAGGATATTTGTCCTCTTTTGAAGTATCGCTTTCGGACACCTGATCCAAACACACAAACCGAAATGTAAATAGCATTGCTCCTTTCAACATAGCACCGCCAACAAAACCACGGCTGAATCATTGCTTATCCTACTCAAAAGGAACCTGACCGTAGTACAAAAACGATTGGAAGTAGAATTGCACGACTTCCACAACCCCAACTTCACAAAATGTCACTTCCAGCATTACTGGACAAATCAGTCGAACAGGTTGTTTAGGATAACTTCAGGCTTGGCTAATTGACCCTTTCCTCAGCTTGGCTTGAGGTGGAAAAAGCCCTATCCTTGGTGAAAGGAACATGATCCTGGTTCTTGCGAAAGCCTATTAAGTCCCACCATGTCCCTCCCAAAGGATAGACTGTTGATGTAGGTCCTCGCGCCAAGAGAAAGCTGCGACCTCAATGATGCAGGCTCCTTGCCTCTTAAAGAGGGGGGGGGGGGGGGAAACTGCCAACACGCACGCACCAGTGTTGCGGCAAGACTTGCACGGCCAGCGCTGTGTCAATGAAAAACGGGGGGGGGGGGGGGTCGAGCCAGGTGCTTTTTTGGAATGGTTCTTTCTCAAACCCGTGCGCTTGCAAGCTAATCAGCAGAAGTGACCTACAAGTCTTAATTAGAGAGGGGGGTCGGGTTTTCTCAACCTTTGGTGTCCTCAAGCTTTCTGTTGCCAAATAAGCAGAAATGGGATTGCTGACGCCAGTCTTAATGAGCCAGAAACCTGGGGCCGGTAGCCTCACTATTGCCCTGCGGGCTTCCCGGCCGTCTTCGCCCGCCGGAGCCGCTCGAAGCGCTGCTGCAGATCTCGGCAAACGCGGCAAACACATATCTTCGGTGTTTTCATGACGTTTGTGTGATTCTCGGCGTTGCTCATGTGGCAGATCGAGATCTGGACCGACGAAAGGAACAAGTCATTGAACCAATTCCATCACATAGAGCATCGTAAAGAAGACGTCGTGGAGATCCAAAGAGATTTCGTGAACAAAAAACGAAAGCGGAACGCTCCCATTCAGCGCATACACATACCCCGGCATGGCGTACGTGCAACGCATGAGAAAATCCATGCGCGCAATGCGTTTAGCTACTTGTCAATCCTCACTTAACCCTTTGAACTTCGCGCTGGAAAACAGATAATCGATTGCACCGGAAATCATGAGTTTCAACGTATTCACCTCAAGATGGACGATTTTGCCTCACAGCTACGTTGGCATAACAAAAGTCATGCGGCCCGACCTCATCATGAATCTCCAGAAATAGACAACACACAAACCCCAACCAAATTAAGCTAGCGGGTTGAAATCACGGCAACACAAGCGTTCTTCCGCATTGTTTCACCCTCAAGGATGGCTCTGCCCATGCAAAGGAGCCAACGAAACGAGAATCCGAAGCCGAGTTCGGGGCTGGGGCCCTGCTCGCTCTCCAGCTCCAGAAACGTGTTCTTGACGACGAACTGGCTCGAAACGGACATGCGAATGGCTTGTGGGGGATTGGTGCATGTCCTGTTCTTTCAGAACCCCCTTAAGATGCAAATCAGCAAAATTATATTCGCCATGGACTTCGACTTCGTCGGGCAGCATTGCACGACAACCGCATTTCCTCACAACTCATTCGGCAGGCAAGCGAGTACCAACGCCAACATAGTTCAGAGTTCAGAGTTTTATGTGTGCTCCCCCTTTGTTAGATCGCTCTATTTAGTCTGGCAGAAGTACAACACCTAGGACACATGACAACCTCCACTTGGAGTGGTCCATGCCTTCCATTTATCACACCTTGCGGAATAAAAGTTTGTACAAGGTTTGTACAAGCGTGACCATGAAAAAATGTAAGCAGCACCGGTCTTTGACCTACATCATTGCATCTTGGCAGCCCTCCAAAGATGGCAGACTCTTGTCACAAACGATTTTAGCGCATACACAGCACTCCGGGTTCTCTTGTTTCCTTTTAAGCTTCAGCTTGGGGGAAAAAATACGACCGACATGGTCTCCGCCTGGTGGAACCTGCCTTGTCTCACTTGGCCCGCCGGAGGGCTTCAAGCAAACGCATGAGTCTGCCCATGCAAACGAGCAAGGACTTTCTTGTCAACGACAGGCATTGTGAAACACTGGTGTTTCACTAGACTGGCAATGGCAACAAGCAAGCGTGGAATAGCAACATTCCTTCAATGCCAAGCATCGTGCACACGAATTTCACTGAAAGTCCGTCTGATGGGACGTACATTCACTGGGACCTAAGTTTTGATAGGCGAGGACTTCAAATCATACTTAGAGGGGGAGGCTTTGCTTTAGAGTTAGTCCTGTTTGTGCTAGACTGGCACGGGTTGAGCTTCCCTAGTTGATGCCTGCTGCAGCCCATGAACAACAAAGAGCTGACTGACCTTTTCTTGAAAGCGAACCTCTTCTAGCCAAGAAACAAGCCACAGTTCGGATAGCAAACAAGAAACAAATATTTGACTCACCCTGCGTGGGAAAAGCCAACTCCAATTCTCAACCTAGTTCCTTGCAAACAAACATCTGACGAACACCCAGAAACCCCACCGCTTAATCGGCGATCTTGCTCTCCCGCCCCTTCCCCAATCCCGGCTTCTTCGCGGAGGTGAAAAATCCACCCCTACAATAATGTGGAGGACCCCTCACAACAACATACATATATATATATATATATATGCATGTGTATATATATATATATATATATGTGTATATATATGTGTGTGTTAGGGGCGGCAGGATTCTATTGGGGTCAAACAAGGGTCCACGTGGCTTTACAATAATAAATAAATTCAAATGGATCAAATGGTTTCAAGGAGAACCAAAAAGGAAACCCACAAAATTGGTAAATTGTATGTATATGTTCCTACATACTTGGACCCTCTGGTGGACATCTTTTATGCCACCAACCATTTGGAAGGTGCATTCCCAATTTTCAAGAAAACAACGGCTGTGTGTGTGTGTGTACGTGACAATCCGACACACGCACACAAATATGTCTCCTTCAAAACAATCAGGATTCAGCAAGGGCGTCGGACAAGACAAGCTCTGGATCTGGTGTTTAGAACTACGAGCCTAGATTATTTACTGTGTTACGTCAACCTTAACAAAACCCATGTGAGGCAGTCATGTGGAAGGAAAAGCTCTGCGAAAGAAGCAAAGAAGCAATAGGTTCAGCAACGGCCTGTCTGTGAGATCACAACAAACCCCCAGCCAGCCCAACCAATGCTTCCAAGGACCACCTGCACACCACACAACCGATCAACTTCCATCGCCTTCTCCTCTGCTCTCTTGGCTGGACAGTCCTGGACAGGAACCAAATATTGAAGCAACCAACCAACAAACCGGCCAACAAAGCAACAAAGTAAACAACCAGCAGCATAGCAACAAAACAACGATCCAGTCGGAAAAAAGTGGAGCCCCATTGTCCCAGTGTGACGCATTCTTTTGTTGCGTAAAACGCGTGTTCGAGCCTGTCCTTGAATAACAGGGTGTTTTGTTGTTCAATATGTTCAGAGGGGCGAGCGATCGATACGTTCTTGATTTCGCGCTCGTGCGCAGTTACGTGCGCTTGTTTTGGCGATAAGAATTTGCGCTCGTTGTGCACTTCGATTTCTGCGCGCTCTTTTCAGGACCAATCATCTTGGAGTCTTGGAGGACAAATCCAAGAATATACAAAAACTGCTCGAGACGTATATGTCTTGCCGTTTTCTTTGAAAAAATAAGGCACGACCACAATGAACATTACACGACGAATACGAAAAATACAAACATGTGTGTTACGAAGGGAGCTTCGGGAACAAACAATCGAACAAGCGACCAAACACACAAAGAAACAAACAAACAAACAAACAGACAAACAAACAGACAGACAGGCAGACAGACAGACAGACAGGCAGACAGACAGGCAGACAGACAGGCATACAAACAAACGAACAAATAAACAAACAAGCCAACAAAAGAAAAGGCAATGAAACACAAGAAACGAAACAATAGCAGCATAATTATCACCGAAGAAACGGGTAAGCACTTAAGGAAGCAGGCAAGGCAAGGCAAGCAGGCAAGCAACCAACCCAAGAAACAAACAATCAGTTTAACAACACACTTTGCTCCCTGCCTCCAGCGCTCGTTGTGTGCGCTCTGCCTCAAGATCCGCTTCCGTCTCCTTCTCCTGGCCTCAAGCCCACAAATAAGCACGCTCTGTGGTATGTTACATCATGCACATCAACAGCACAAGTTATCCCTGCCCAACTTGCCGAGCCACGGCTTTCGAGGTCCTCGGCCAATTGCTGGGCGGCCTCCGTCGGCTGATCCTCCGCCTCTTTCTGCTCCAAAGCGGCCTGAAGCAAATCATCCAAAGAGGATACGGTCAAGCATACTTGTTGCGATTGTTGGACTCTGCAAAGCCGTTCATGCCTCTCACGTCAGGGATGTGTTTTGTGTTTGAAAAGTTTCGAAGGCTGGTACCCACTACCATGCAGTACAAGTGTTAACCACATGCCAGCTCTTCTCAAATCAATGCATCCTTGCAAAAATGTCGTAGCAAGCCTCGATCTTCAACACAACTCAGGGATCCTTCAGCAATTGTCGTAATGTAAATGCACTTACGGCCTTTCCAGAGGATCACATAGGGACCGAACCGCTTCAATGCGCTCGTGCAAGCTGGCTCGTGCAACCTGTCTCGTGCAAATCTGCCTGTTGAGTTCGCTAGCAATTTTTCGGCTTCGCAATGCCTTCGGGAACAAAAACACGCAACCACCCGACGGCCCGAGTATGCCTTTGACTGCAGAAAAAAGGCACGGTGGGTCGTTCATACACAGGCGCCTGAAGGCTCGATGAGAAATGTTGACGACTTGATGGCTTTTAGAGGTCCTTATTGCATGAGTCACTAGATTTCCCTAAGGTTGCAATTAACTGGCTTCCATTGAAACTGCCACTGTTGGAACCCTCCAAAAAAATGATATCCTGGCTTACAGAAAGTGGGCTTCCCTAAAACTCGAACCACCTCTTTCCACAGCCACGGGCACGACGAAACCCCCGCATGGCCCGAACTGGCCTGAGCTGCGCTCTCCGCTGCTTCCTCCTGCCAATTGTAGGAACCCACAGGTTCTCAGAACCTGTTGAAAAGGGCATCTTCGCCCGAGAACCATTCCATTCCGGCCAAGGCGCATAGAAAACATCAAAAGGCCATGAACACTTCTTTAACAACCGGTTAGCACGAGGAACCCCCAGCTGCGTCCCACTGACTTCCTGGCTGAAATATCCAAATGTAAGAGGCCCAAAACGACATCTCCTGGCAGTTGGTTAGGGCGGAGGTAAACTGGGGGGGATACCTTTGTGGGAAATAACCCGTTCAATGGTGATTGCCAAACGTGGGATTCCCATCCCCATGAGTTCTGTATCACCGTGCAGGGATTCCTTCGCAGCAGAACCCCACAAACGGATGTCTTGGGCAAAATATGCGCGCGCAAACCCAGTCAATGCGTCTGCTGGCAGGTCTGTGTCTCCTGAGAGGTCTGCGCCCGGCCGAGGCACATAGAGAACATCAAAAGGCCATGAACACTTCTTTAACAACCCAAATGCGTCCCACTGATTTCCTGGCTGAAATATAAGAGGCCCAAAACGACATCTCCTGGCAGTTGAGCAATGGTGATTGCCAAACGTCCCATGTCTGCATTTATCACGTGAAGGCATTCCTCGCCAGTAAAAAAAAAAAACAAAAAAAAAAACTCAGAAAAAAAAATAAACCCCACAAACGGATGTCTTGGGAGCAAAATATGCGCGCGCAACACCCAGTCCGCTGCACGTCTGCTGGCAGGTGCTGTGTCTCTGAGAGTCTGCGCCCGCCGCGAGCACCTAGCGAACCATCAAAAGAAAGGCCATGAACACTATCAATAACAACCGGCATAGCCACGCAACCGGTTAGCACGAGGAACCCAAATGCGTCCCACTGATTTCCTGGCTGAAATATAAGAGGCCCAAAACGACATCTCCTGGCAGTTGGGCAATGGTGATTGCCAAACGTGTCCCCATGACTGCTTTATCACCGTGAAGGCACTCCTTCGCAGCAGAACCCCACAAACGGATGTCTTGGGCAAAATATGCGCGCGCAAACCCAGTCCATCTGCGTCTGCTGGCAGGTCTGTGTCTCCTGAGAGGTCTGCGCCCGGCCGAGGCACATAGAGAACATCAAAAGGCCATGAACACTTCTTTAACAACCGGTTAGCACGAGGAACCCAAATGCGTCCCACTGATTTCCTGGCTGAAATATAAAGAGGCCCAAACGACCTGGGGTAGGCAGTTGAGCAAATGGTGATGTCTCAACTGGTCCCCATGACTGCTTATCACACCGTGAAGGGATTCCTTCGCAGCAGAACCCCACAAACGGATGTCTTGGGCAAAATATGCGCGCGCACACCCAGTCCGTCTGCGTCTGCTGGCAGGTCTGTGTCTCCTGAGAGGTCTGCGCCCGGCCGAGGCACATAGAGAACATCAAAAGGCCATGAACACTTCTTTAACAACCGGTTAGCACGAGGAACCCAAATGCGTCCCACTGATTTCCTGGCTGAAATATAAGAGGCCCAAATCTTCTGGCAGGTTTGGGCAATGGTGATTGCCAAACGTGTCCCCATGACTGCTTTATCACCGTGAAGGCATTCCTTCGCAGCAGAACCCCACAAACGGATGTCTTGGGCAAAATATGCGCGCGCAAACCCAGTCCGTCTGCGTCTGCTGGCAGGTCTGTGTCTCCCGAGAGGTCTGCGCCCGGCCGAGGCACATAGAGAACATCAAAAGGCCATGAACACTTCTTTAACAACCCAAATGCGTCCCTCTGATTTCCTGGCTGAAATATAAGAGGCCCAAAACGACATCTCCTGGCAGTTGAGCAATGGTGATTGCCAAACGTGTCCCCATGACTGCTTTATCACCGTGAAGGCATTCCTTCGCAGCAGAACCCCACAAACGGATGTCTTGGGCAAAATATGCGCGCGCAAACCCAGTCCGTCTGCGTCTGCTGGCAGGTCTGTGTCTCCTGAGAGGTCTGCGCCCGGCCGAGGCATATAGAGAACATCAAAAGGCCATGAACACTTCTTTAACAACCGGTTAGCACGAGGAACCCAAATGCGTCCCACTGATTCCTGGCTGAAATATAAGAGGCCCAAAACGACATCTCCTGGCAGTTGGGCAATGGTGATTGCCAAACGTGTCCCCATGACTGCTTTATCACCGTGAAGGGATTCCTTGTCTTGGGCAAAATATGCGCGCGCAAACCCAGTCCGTCTGCGTCTGCTGGCAGGTCTGTGTCTCCTGAGAGGTCTGCGCCCGGCCGAGGCATATAGAGAACATCAAAAGGCCATGAACACTTCTTTAACAACCGGTTAGCACGAGGAACCCAAATGCGTCTTTGATACAAAAATCATATCCAAATGTGTGGTTACTGTACCGTGTACTGGAAATAAACCTTCAGCCATAGTCAAACCTGGTAAACAAGAGAGGCCCAACACCAAAAGCGCCGCAGCTACAAACCTGGGGCAATCCGTCCGGGTTTTTCGCCGTCCGGGTTTTGGCCGTTCTCAAAAGCTAAGGGCCACAGCTTGTTCTGCTTTCAAAGGAACATGTTCAGGGGGTGGCTTCAGGAAAACCAAAGGGCGAGCCAAATTTGTTGACATATGTTGAGGCACGCCAAAATGCAATGAGTGCGATCTGTATTGCCCCGTTCGGTGGCTTGCTGTCGGCTAACATGGCTGTCTTAATCAATCGGAATGTATGTCACGGGCTCAAGGGGCCAAATGACAATAAAGGGATCAAGGACATCCCTTTCAGGCCTCATGAGCAGCTTTGGGAAAGCCTGTGGTATGGAAACTCTTTTGAGAACTGACCGGGCAGCCACAAACAAACAATATCTTTGGAAAATATCAGTTTGCTGGAGCCCAACTGACAGAAGCGAATTCATCCGACCCCCTCAGCGGCGTCAAATCCCCTCTCCTTGAAGTTCTTCGCCTTGCAAAGGCCGCTACACTCGTTGAACAGGGCCCACATGACCGCAACAAACGGCTGTGAAAAAAATCGGTGTCTGGTCTTACATGATCGACGCGTTTCCCAAGGCTGCTCAACTTCCTTAGCATATGTCATGCGCATTTGTTTGTCAGTTCAAGCAACATTTCGACTTATGTTTGATATTATTCCAGTATATTCTATATAGTTCTTCTTTATGCCAACATGCTTATGAAGAAATTGAAATGTGGCTCTCGCCTCCTCAATAAGTTGGCGCCAGTATTCCACAGCAGCTCGGCCGCACATCGCCTGGCTGGCTGGCTGGCTGGCTGGCTGGCTGGCCGGCTGTCTGGCTGGCTGGCTGGTTAATTGGTGATTTGGTTGGTCCGCGTTGGTTTGTTTGTTGGCTGGCTGGCTGGCTGCGGCGTGTTGTGTGTGTGTGTGTGTGTGTGATTTGCTGTCGGTCCAACAACCCAACTCTCCAACTCTCACTCCACTCTCACTCCACTCTCACTCCACTCTCACTCCACTCCATGTCCGAACATGTAGATTTTTATACACATGTACAAATACACATGTAGACATTGTATACATTGCATGCTTACACACACACACACACACCACCACACATTCACAAATGGCCACGGGCAAGCAGGCCTCCAAGTACACGAAGTCAAACTCCTGCCCCACGCGCTCAGAGCTTTGTTTCCCTAACAGCTGAAACATCTGGGCAGTTAGGTATCGAATGAGTATCGGCTTGACTTGGTTGGCAATCCCACTCCAGGACCTCAATTAGCAACACTGGTGGCTTTATCCATGACTCGTATAGCTTCTCAATCACACAGTGTGGTGCGACTCACAAGAACCCAGGAATCTCGAACCAATTGTGTCGAAGACAAACGTTTTTGCTCATCGCTTTGCAATGGCGGCCTGCAAAAAAAAGTTAAGGGGCGGCCCTTTCGATTGACGCCCTATCTTTGGTTTCCCAGCTGCTGCCAAGCCGCCCTTCGCCCCATAGCAAGATGATGCGATTCGGCGGGCGCGGATTTGAAATTGAGCCAAATCTGGAGTGCAGAAAAGACTCGGCGTGTCGCTTCCTCTCAAAACGGATTATTTTCGTTTGGAAATGGATGGGCTGCATTAGGCAGGGTTCCTGTCAAACGGGATTGGTTTCCACTCATGGACAAGGTCCCTCTAAAAATGTATGTGTTTTCTCTAAACATGGTACGTTCCCTCGGTTGCGTCTCAAAATCGATGGGTTTAGGGCAAGCAAGGTTCTCAAATCCAATTGGCTTTACCACAAGTCATCGTAGTGATGATGATGATGATGATGATGATGATGATGATGATGATGATGATGATGATGATGATGATGATGGACATGTCCAAAGTCTTTTTGCTTGGTTTTTGACTTCCTTTGGAAACCACCAACAACAAACAGGGATCCCCAAGTCGACGAGGGGCCTTTTTGCTCCCCTTGCCGCCTACTGAAACTCGCGGGCGACCATGCGTTCCAGCCATGTCACTCTGACCTGGCAAGGCAGGCTCCGGTGAAGAAAGAAACAACGATTGCACACCAGCACCTCGAACAGCACCCCAAACAGCATCCCAAAACAGCAGCTGCACCGGGGTGGATGTCCAAAAAGAAAGAAAGAACATAATGGGTGTTCTAACACCAATAACGTCACTTAATATTGGTGTTAAATCATCAGGTATGTCAGGAAAAGAACCATTGACTAAACTCTCCGCCCCGACTCCCGCAGCTGCACCTGAAGGTCCGCCACCTGGTGAAAGTAGATGACAGAAATCCTGGTAGACGTTGTACAGGGGGGTTAAACCAAAAGGGGGGGGACTGCGGTATCTACTTTCAACCAAATGCCATCTTGACCAATGGTCACAAGTCCTGTGCGTCATGGTTGCAATAGGATTGCTGATTACCAGCTTGAAGTTCCTTCAGGAATTCAATGACCACCGGCCTCAAGTTCAAGCAATGTTGACCATCGAATAATGAACTCTTGGTTGATTGGGGGGTGTCCCAGTTTAGAGAAAATCCTTCATGTTGGGCGGGACTGGAACCTCCTTGCTGAATTGACATCAGGGGGTCCTATACGATTCCCATAGCTTATAAAGGAAAAGGTACACATATGAGCCCGTGTTCTCTTCATATTTATCGACACTTCTCAGTGTAAGGGGTGCTTGACTTGCCTTCCCAACTCAAAGGCTTGCAAGCTCACCGCCTCCGCCTGGCAGGATCGTATTGGGGTCAAACAAGGGTCCACCTGGCTTTACAATACCAAATAAATTCAAACGGATCAATTGGTTCAACGGAGAAGCAAAAAAGGAAACCCACAAAATTGTTACGATTGGGGGTGAGTTATATGCGTTTATTTCTACATGCTTGGACCCTCCGGTGGAAATCTTCTATGCTCACCAACCATTTGGAAGCTGCATTCCCCATGTTCAAGAAAACGTGTGTGTGTGTGTGTGTGACAATCCGACACACACACACAAATATGTGTCCTTCAAAACAATCTGGCTTCAGCAAGGGCATCGGACAAGGATCACATGAGGGAGTGTCTCCACACCCGCCTTGTCTGCTTGGAGTTGCGCGTCGCTGCTGGAGCTTTTCAGCGCTTCCAGCTCCGCCTGCAACTGCTGGGTCTGCTCGAGAATAATCTTGACCTGGCCTCAGGACCCACAGATTCCACCGTACCGCACAATGATTTGCAATGGTTTGCTTGCGTGCTTGAAGGAACCAACTGCAAATTGCGCGGATGACATTTTTGCAATGTCACTGTCACTGCCGAAATACACTCTTTATCGCGGCACGCATGCTACGACAAAAACATCCTCCTCCAACAGCCTCCTCCGGCAGTCTACGAAGTATATCAAGAGTCGGGGGCCCTTGTTCAAAGTTGGATTTTTCCTTCCAGCGCTTTTGGGCCCAAGTGTGGCTCTGCAACTTTGTTTCATTCATGTGGCCTGCTTCCAACCATCTCATACAGCTCAAGCCATAGCTTGCAGGCACAAGGTGCAAAGAACAGATCGCTAAACAAGAAGCATCATGCAGAATTGGACCACAGCAAATCTAGCGCATGAACGTGCTGACGAAACACGACGCAAACTCAATAGATCTTAGACACTCACACAGTCTTGTATACCTAGTGAGCGCGTTGCAAGTGCGCATCAAACAAGGGCTCAAACACATTGACGGATGTTGCTAAAGTGATGAATCGCAGCTATGTGGTGGTGTGCGGAACCGGCCCCTTGAGAATAATACATACATATATGTATACACACTTATGCATCTTTACACGACATTGTCTACATAGCCATAGCATATTCACGAAAACAAGAGCTATCCCCACCCAACTTGCCGAGCTACATTCCAGGTTCTGCAAAGCCGCGGCCTGAAGCGAAGCATCCAAACATATTTTGTTGAAAAAAGCATGTTGCCATGTCTACATAAATGTGTGTGTCTCCATTGCTCGATTTCGGGGGATGATAAAACACCCATATTCATGCTGCAGAACTTATCCTACTGTGCACGAACATGGAACCTCACACGGCGTGCTGGAAAACAATGTTCCTTTAAAAGGGCACCCCTGGTGGGTTCCATGTTCGTGGAAGGAGGGTATCCAAATTTCCGCGCGTTGAAAGTTGAAGGCATCCGGCAATGCCGTGGGAACGCTCAGACTCCACTTTTCCTCAAGGGCCCTTCAGTCAATATTCCAGAAACATCGTTCAGCTTCAATAATACGGCATAGACATGTGTTAACTTCAAACACATTGGGATTGTCCTCACAGTGTTCGGAACTTGCTCCTCGTCTCAGGCATGTCCATGGAATAGCCCCCCCTTGTCCCCGGAATCTCGCTTGCATCAAAAGGTGTCTGCACATACCTTCTGAAGACTCCTCCGCGAGCACAGAAAGGCAGCCTCCCACCGCCTCGCCACTAAAAAATATACAACGGTATTATCTGGTGCAATTTTTCTCGCGCAAGTTTTCTCGTGCAAAGTGTGCTGGTGCAAGTTGTGCTCGCTGGAGTTCGCTGGCGATTTTTCCCGGAAGAACCCTTCCCAACACTTTCCAGAGCAAAAACACGACGCCCGCCGGCCCTTTCGTACGCCTTTGACTGGTGGGTCCTTCAGTGCTCCTTTCCTGCTCGCTTCCTGACTTGTCTTGCAGTCTTGTCGTCTTACCATAGTCTTGTACTCTTCCTGCAGTCCGATCGTCTTTCCACAGTCCTGCCGTCTTCCTGTGAGAGGGCTCATAGAAGGGCCATGGCAACCAGTTGTGAAATTTAGTTTTGCAAGCAACCGCACTGACACATCTTGGGCGCCCTGCGATCATCATCGGGGGCTGGCGCAAGTTGCCGGATTGCACTGCTCACATTTTTGTCAGGTCCTCGTTAGATCAATCTGCAACACTGGTCTCATCGGAGGGACCCAACTGAGTTGCATCAATCCCCATCGAAAGTCGAAAGGAGAACCACTATGTGGATGTTATGCGAAGTGGATGGTCGGAAAAGCCAAGAACGAAATTGCTTTATTTCGAAAACAATGACTAAGCTCCAGCTTGGGTTATGTTACACATTTAGGGGGACCCCGAAAGTGTTTCCAATCAGGTCACCTCAAAAGGACAGCAACTGGCAGTTGCAAAAAGCCATGCAACCTGGGGCGGTGAAAAGCTCAGAGACACAAAAAGCTCAGAGGTCATCGATGCCAAGAGATTTGGGCCACACCTTCTTGGCCACTTCCTCGGGGCCAGTTGAGACCTCAGGCAGGGAGTGATTGCCCCAAGTTCAAGTGCCCGCCACTTGCGAGCGGCGAAAATATATTTATTCCCAACAAAAAATATGGTTGGAGACCGAACCAAGTAGCAAATCTGGACCCTTGGTGTGGTTTAAGGATAGGGCAAAGATCGCAAGCCCCGCCTTCCCGGCTTTCTTCCCTGGCGCCGTGTGAGTGGGTCGCGTCGCAGTTGCGTTCTGAAGCGTTCTGGTTTGTATGTCATGATGTAGCAAGCAAAGAAGGGGCAATGCGATTTGCACGCTTGCTGTCGTCAAACATGCAAATTGGGTGTTGTGTGCCGGAGCGGCAAAGCACTTCGCTTAGCTCATCCCTGGCTGCCACATGGTCCTAACAAGTTGCGGGAAGAGTTTGCATTTCTTGGGGGAAACAAATTTCCTCTGCAAGGGACCCTTGATTTAGCACGCTTCGAAAGGATGTTTGCAGGTTCTCAAACAACCTCGGATCCTTGCCCCCAACAACGCCTTCAACTCCCATGTGCAAAAGGGTGATGAACATTACTCCTGGCCACCTAAGCATGCCAACCTGTGACAGCTATCTTTGCAGCTATGCTATATGACCACTATCCCCCTAAACAGTATTCATTGCATCAAACAGATTAGATGCTATCCAAACAACTTGCAATTTGCATTTTGCAGTGCCTGAAAAATGCAACTCGATGAGCGGATCGGCCCAAACAGCATCATGAATGCAAAACTGGCGTTCTGGAATCGTAGCGCTCTGTAAGAATCAATAGCGTTCTGGAACCAACAATGTTCCGGAAACACGCGTTCTGAAGCCCCTAAGTACATCACCCCATAAGGAAACTCGCTTGGGGTTGAGAAAAACACAACGTCAGCCCTTATATCCTTATGCCCCAGTATCGGTATTTTTTCTGCATCGGTTTACAGTTGTTTGGCAGTTCCAGCTCGAAAGTTTTCAGTACAAGTGTAGTATACGGTATAGTACGAGTGCCTTAGGCGAAGCGCATTTTGGCAGCTCCAGCTGGAAAGTCGCAACTTTTCCGTACAAGTGTACGCTTTGGCACGGCTCGAAACTCGCACCTTTTCAGAAAAAGTGTAGAAAAGTGCAGAAGACGAAGTACATTGGCCGGTTGGAAAGTCGCAATGGCCCCCCCCCCAAAGGAGGGCCCACCAAAGCGTCATTTTGCATGGAAGTTGGGTGAAGTACCAGGCTAGCATCAAAAGTCAAGTCCGCTGGCGGCCATTCGCATCAGCTCCCTCACCGAAGCGTGCCGCAAAGAAGGCTAAAATGCTTGCTTAAGTAGCCTGGGTTTTGAGCTGGCAGATTTGGGAGCAACTTCTTGAAACAAAACATCTTCAAAAACAACGTTTTTGCCAATAGGAGCCATTGGGTGCTGCTGGCATTGTTGGGGCCCACTCGGCCCTGTTGCCAATGGGCCCCCATGGGCCCCAATGGGCCCTGATTGTTTGCGATTCGCACCCCAACAGTGATGCTGGCGTGCCATGGGCGTTTGGAGCAAAATTTGGAGATGACGAGCTGGAAAAAGGGGACTGCCGATCTGGAAAATGAGCCCGTTTTGTCTGGATTAGAATTTTGCTGGGAGACTGCCTTGCTTGTTCCAACGCTTGTGGTCAGAGATTGCCCACGCTAGCTCCCTACTTCTTGGCAGAATCGCAACATTGAACCGCACATCGCGCGCAAAAAGAAAAAGAAAAAGTGGGGCCCACCCATGCCTGAAGTGGAGTCCTGGCGGTAGCCCCAAAACCCGAGCTGGCCCATCTGGGGGGTGCTTTTGTTGCCCTTTTAAGGCTGGTTTAAAACAAACCACTCATCTTCGTATGTTTTCTTGAAGTCGATACCTTGCCGTCCACTAACATGAAACCCACCAGCAGGTCTTTGTTAGAGGGAAATGAATGGTCTTATAGGTGGGGTGTGTCCATGTGGGGTATGTAAGTTGGTCCTTAGATTGTGTGAAGGCTTCTGCGCACTTCCAATGTTAGTGGGAGGAAGGGTACAAATGCCTGACTCTTATCCATCCCACCGGATTGAGGTCAAGCTCCCATATCGTCCATCACGGGTTCGGGCCCCCGCGAGAGCCATTTAAAAAAGATTGAAAGGGCAGCTTCATCTACTTCATTCATCTGCCGCTTGCGACCTCTTTCTTCAGCTCCTCCTTTGCTGCTTTCGCGACAGACTGGAGCACGTATAGCAGGCAGGCAAAAAATGGTCGATGTCTACTGCGCGTGTTCTTTGGCTGCCTACAAACCAGGCAAAAAAAGGTGAAAAAACACATATATTTTGAACAAATGCTTTGGACCAAAGTCCCCCTTCCCACCTCCCCTACCTCGCCCTTGCCACTCCTTGTTGTGGCTGGTGGTGGGCATCCTCAGGTCCGAACGCATCGGGAGTAAAAAAATGCAGTTTGCCTCCACCTGAAAGCTGCCTCTTAACAAAGCATTTCATAGCCCTTGTCCTGATCTAACACTTCCTACCACAGAACGTGGCCCGTTTCAAGCACAACTATGGTGGGGCCGCGGAAAATCTGGTCCAGGGAAGCTTGTAAATGACGCTAATTACATTACAGCACATTTCAGTACTATACATACTGGCATGCATAACAATACGTACTTTTAATTACGAAAGTAGTGCGCCAAGTGCACTCCCGCTCTGGCTGCAACATCGCATCTACGTGCAAAGCTAGCATGCGAAGCGCGCTCTCGCAGCTCGCAAATCGCAACTTGCAAGCGCGAGGTACACTTCAAGCAAAACCGCCCGCCTTGCGCAGCACTGGACAAATGGACAAAACAGTTGACGAGAGAAAGGGACCTGAGAGGTTGGGAGAGGTTGCTGAATGCTTGACAGGGACCACAACGCGCATCATGCGCAGCGCAGAAAAATCGCAACATCACTCGAAGCGCTTCACGCGAAGCATCAAAACACGATGCATCGCCCGCAAGAGAAGTTGACTGGAGAGATTGCGAAGCACGATGCTAAGCTTGTTCATCAGAACTTGCTGAAGCTACGCTTGAGAAGGGACATTGACGTGTTTACGCTTTGTTTCTGATCTGCAGTCGCAGAAGTGTCAGAGTTTATTTAACGTCCTTCTGTGCTTCTGGGCCGCCTGTCGTCAAATTAAACCCAATACTCTTTGGGGCCTCTTGCCGGGATCATTTCTTTTCGAAAAACAGGCCGTGCCTTTGGGCGGACTTGAAAGATTTGGGCCTCTGGTTCAGAATGCTTGGAAGCTACTCTTTGCCATGGAAATGGACAGAAGGAAACAACTATCTTCCAATTCCACAAACATCCGAAAGGCAGCTTCCTGTTTTTTGTGTGGGAAATAAGGCAAAAAGAGACAAGCTTCAGCGTTTTCTCTTACCAAACCTTTTGGAGCAAAAGGGGCCCGTCTTGTTGGAATGAGGGTGCCCAAAGGAAACATGCTGAGCACGGCGCTCCAAGGCGGAGATGAAGGCTGGGAAGCTGGCACTCGAAAAAGGCGGCCGGGCGAGTGCAACGATGGCTGCCGCTTGTCATTCGAGGATGTCCACTACCCCAAACCACTAGCAGGGGAAAAGGATGTAAAAAACAGCTAGCCACTGAAACGATCAACACCATTGCAGGTATGAAGACTTATGTAACTTGAGAGGAGGGCCAACGAAAGATAAAAACGGACCCTAGACGGGCTGCGCAAGTGTTCGCAAATAGAGAAGGGCCACTGCCGGCTCATGAAACATGTCCCAAAAAAGGTGTCCAGCAAGCTGCGTGTCATGCCCTTTCGAAAATGCACACCCCGCATCACCAGCCTTGCAGACAGAGCCTGCCGCACAGAAAGTACTCGCAAAGCATACTTGTTTCCTCACTTAAGTTATGCGTGCGCCAGCATCTCCAGCATCGCTGGAGAACAAGCTGGGAGAAGCTGGGAGAAAGAGAAAGCAGAGAAGGGGGGAAGACGAGCTCGAACAGTCGATATGAAGAACGTGGAAGTCTAGGTCACGCGATCTGAGCGCCGAACAGGGAAGATACCCCAAACCGACTCGGGCGCTAAGGAGGAAACCGTGTCAATCTGTGTAGAAACAAAGAAGCAAGACGAGCAGATGTTCACAGAGGCGACGGGTGAACGCAGACGCAAGGTGAATGCACAAACGTGTCACCAGCATCATTGACATCCCCAGCATCAGACATTTCAAAGCACACTTTGCTAAATGCAAAGTAGTTCCTAAAATCCGCGCTAGATTGCAGCGCGCAGCCTTTTCTCTGTGGCCTGTTAGCTCCATCCCGCCCGCATCATAGCACGCACGTCAGCACCATCGCCAGCAACAACAGCCTTGGAGGCAGAGCTTGCCGCACAGGTCGTGCTCGCGACGCACACTTGTTTGCCCACTTACGTCCTGCGCGCGCCAGCATCACGTTGACACAGTTGACACAAAGATAGCACACAAGACTTGCGCAATGCAAACGAGAAGAGGAGATAAGCTAGACAAAAAAAGGAGATAGAGAAGAAAGAAGCAAATTTGGCAAGCGTGTAGACCAAGGGCAGGCTGGCGAGATCTACGCCGCGACAAGCACAGTACTTGTGCAGAAACTTTCGTCATCTCGTTTATACCTTGTAAATTGTACGGGATATCGACATTGTGACCCAACTGCAGTCGGCAAAGCTGAGGTTGCGAACGCACCACGTGCTTGTACAAGTCTTGGCGCGCGCACTGTGCGCACGGCAACGGCACAAAGCCACGCTGGCCGGAAGAGTCTCCAGTTCAGGCGGCCCAGGGTAGATTCGACCGCCACTTTTGCCATTTGCACTTTGCTTGGGATCCCAGTGTTTGTAACTGATGCGTTTGTGTACTGAAGTACAAGCTTGCACGGAGCCATGCGCGGCCCTTGTTCCGCGTGCCAGAAGCGCACGACTGCGCAGGTTGAGAATGTCTGGCTGTGCACATCATGCGATTCTTCCGCAGATGGTCGCGGCGGAGATCGCAGGTTCAAGCGCTGGAAGGGCGAGACGAGTTCTTTACCTGAGGAGCTCGAACCTGCGGAGAGCTCGGAATCAGAGGACTGCATCCCAGCAGAGCCAACCAAATCCGCCCAGACGGAGTTTGGCGACATGTTTGAAAGAGATGCTGCCGCGCTGGACTCCTCCTCTCACTTTACCCCGTTCTTGAAGACGCTGGAAGGCGCATTGGAGATTTGTCATCGCCTCCTGTGGCGGTCATTCATGTACTTTTTCATTATGCTACTTCCTCAACAGCCGGATGCACTAGTGCCGGCGGCGTGCAAAGCCAAAGCGAAGGAGTTTCAGGCCACGATGCCCAACTCCCACTTGCAAGTTTTGACGCGCGCCCCGCTTTTAGGGAAGCCGCCGGCCCTTCTGGATGCCAGCTTGCGCTCCCGTCCAAAGTGGAGGCGTTTGTACCCTGTCGGCACGACGATCACGCGGCGGCGGCTCGCAACGTGGTTGCTCTGCGACTGCTTGCTGCGCTATACCGGCGGAATGGACTTTGTGCAGCAGACGGTCTTAGCAGAGCCTTCACAGTGGTCTGACGGCTACGATGCCGGGACATTCTTTTCTTAGCAACATCCATCATGGAGCGAGTGCGCGTGGTCTGTCTGTCTGTGGCAGGCAGGCAGGCAGACAAACAGACAGACAGACAGACAGACAGACAGACAGATAGACAGACAGACAGACAGACAAGCAGACAAGCAGACAAGCAGACAAGCAGACAGACAGACAGACAGACAGACACAAACACACACGCGTATTATATATTTATATGTAGGCGCTCGCAAGAACCATTTCGAGGGCTGGCGTTCAGACACTCCAAAACGAGAGGCACTTGGAAATGCCACATCCCCAAACACCCGGCCGCGAGAAGCAACCGTTCCTTTTTGCCACTCCACTCCAAGGCGTCGGGCGCTGCCCTCAAAGAAGCGCACCAAGCCCTGTGCGTTTGGGTTGCCTCCGTATTCCAAATTCTCCATAGCATCCCGTTGCACGCATGCAGGCAAGGATGCAAACACGTCCACCAAGTTCAGACGGCGCAGCAAGCAAAAAACGTCCCGAATGCGCAAATATTCTAAATGCAGCAAGCGCTCGCTAGTTGCTCTGCTGGAAGATCTGAAGTCAAAGTCTGGCACAAGCATGCTCGATCCCGTCGATGCATCGCTGAGCTTCGCTGTCAGTCGAACAAATCGACGCCAGGTGCAGGGGAGACACTGAAACGTGTACATGTCAAACGCAGCGCCAAGTTGCATGTTTACGACGCGAACAGTTGTCCTCAGCAAGTCAAGCACAGATGCGAGACTCTCTCCGGTTACTTGTGTGTATAACGCCCGTGGGGCTGGGCCGATATACATGTACCGAGTCCGCAAATGCCAGAGACGCTTGCACGGGTCGCAACCCCCTCGCAATGGAACTCCTGGCAACACCGTGCCCGCAGCTTTGGGCTGACAGCTGCACACTGCGCAGCCAACAAGCAAAAAGATATCCTCCAACATAAACTTCAGCGGGTAGATGTGGATGGCCTGCTCGAAAGGCACATCTGCTGCCAATGTAGGTCGCCCAAGCAACGGCAGTCGCAAAAGTGCGCGCATCAAGTCTTCCAGCACCTGCTCAGCGCCGGGCCCGCCATTTGCTAAAAGAACAATCAAGGCCAACAAAAATTTAGCAGCTGCCCAGGCGACAGGAGCCCACAATGGCACGCTAAACAACAAGTGATCAATGACTCTGGAGTCAGGAGCTCTCTTTCGAACCCGGTCCGCTCCGGCGTGAAAACGCCGACGCCCATCACCCGCGTCCAACCATGCCTTGACAGTGGTGCGGAAGCGCATGGCCTGCTCTATTACTGCCACAATTCTGGCCGCTACATCTTCTGCGGATTGGGCATCGTAGCCGTCAGACCACTGTGAAGGCTCTGCTAAGACCGTCTGCTGCACAAAGTCCATTCCGCCGGTATAGCGCAGCAAGCAGTCGCAGAGCAACCACATTGCGAGCCGCCGCCGCGTGATCGTCGTGCCGACAGGGTACAAACGCCTCCACATGCGAGCCGCGAACTTTGGACGGGAGCGCAAGCTGGCATCCAGAAGGGCCGGCGGCTTCCCCAAAAGCGGGGCGCGCGTCAAAACTTGTAAGTGGGAGTTGGGCATCGTGGCCTGAAACTCCTTCGCTTTGGCTTTGCACGCCGCTGGCACTAGTGCATCCGGCTGTTGAGGAAGTAGCATAATGAAAAAGTACATGAATGACCGCCACAGGAGGCGATGACGAATCTCCAATGCGCCTTCCAGCGTCTTCAAGAACGGGGTAAAGTGAGAGGAGGAGTCCAGCGCGGCAGCATCTCTTTCAAACATGTCGCCAAACTCCGTCTGGGCGGATTTGGTTGGCTCTGCTGGGATGCAGTCCTCTGATTCCGAGCTCTCCGCAGGTTCGAGCTCCTCAGGTAAAGAACTCGTCTCGCCCTTCCAGCGCTTGGACCTGCGATCTCCGCCGCGACCATCTGCGGAAGAATCGCATGATGTGCACAGCCAGACATTCTCAACCTGCGCAGTCGTGCGCTTCTGGCACGCGGAACAAGGGCCGCGCATGGCTCCGTGCAAGCTTGTGCTTGGGATAGGCCTGAAACTGTCAGTCGGCCTCACTCTGTTTTTAACAACAGCTGGAATCTTCAATCAAAATGCCATCCACTACATCGAATCCTCTGCTTGCAGAATTCAGCGCTAAATGAGCCCACCTCGCGCTATAGCCAAAGCCCGCAAAATCAACATGCCGCCGACTAAGGGCTGCCTCCGGTCGGAGAACCTGACACGACAGTTTTGGGAGTCTTCCGGCATTGCCGCGCTCAAGTTTGGGGAACGAAGCTCTCTGTTCACGCACTTGGACTCCAAGCTGTCTTAGGCAAATCCAGATTGGGACAGGATAGCGACTGGCTCCTTCCCTATATACGCGTAAGTCAGGGACAATTTTCCGCCCTGCTCCATATATGTGGGCCCTGGAAAAAGTCAAACATCAAGCCATGCGAAACAAAAAACCACCGGACCGAAGGCCTCTCGAAAAAAGGAGACACGTGTGACTTGGGAGAGGAGGTGAGGCAGGCTGTTGGAATCAACGAAGGCAGCCATCAACTTTTCTCCGCCGAAAAACCTTTGGAAGTGGCAAGAGCGGTCGGATCTCATAGCGCCTCTGCCGAGAACCAGCTGGGAGCATCCAGCACTGCACTGGTTGCAATCCATCTAGGCGAATTGCCTAGGGGAAAGCACTAGATTTCAGCAAACTAAACTGAATGATTCATAGGGACCTTCATGTGTGAGCTCGTTTCATCCCAAGGGGAAGTCGCCAGGATTACTGCAAACAGGTGGAACCAGAGGTTGCACAACGGCTGTGAGGCTGTCATAAATCGACCAAATCCGTCCAGATTGAATTTGATATGTTTCAACCACTGGCTAAAATGATGAAGCCTGCGGAGGTGGGTTTAGCCGTAAGCTACCGCAGC